GCCTACACGTAAGCACTAAATTTGGCATAAGAAAAGTCTCATTATTAGATGAATTGCTAACCTCAGAGCAAAACTTAACCCTATGTTTTGTTTGATGGAAAATGGAGAGTGAACAATATGAGGGACAGATTGATTTTTCACCATTTGGTTTCAAAGGAAAAATGGGTGGAAAAGAAAATTGGAAGGAAATAATCCATTCGATTTTAGGCGGAAAACTGAAGAGAAAATGAGTCATTTTGAATTACAGTTCTATAATTACTTATTTGCCCACGTTATAAAAGAGACTTTTTCTTTTCTTTTCTATTCTTTTTAACATTTTCGAAAAAACACTGTAGGTGAAATATATAAAGGTATTATAGCAATTTTGTGTGAAGGTAAAATGGTAAATTACAGCTATATGTGTATTCTTTCTTTTCATTTTTCCTTCAATACCAAACAATCAAAAAATAATCCCTTTAACTTTTCATTCATCATATCAAACAAAAAGAAGAAAAAATATTTTTTCCTCCTCAAAGGATGGAAAGTCTGTTCTTTTATTTTTCCATTGTTCTAACTTTTCGTCCATCCTACCAAACGGATCAATTTTGTAAAACCTATGAAGGGATCTGTAAAACAGTGGGCTTGCACATTTTTTCTGCCACCACCATAGCTGAAATTGAATTTTCTTTATCCAAAGATAAGAAAGGAATCAGATAAATAGACACATGTGTTTACATCAAACTGATCATATTTTTGAAAGGAAACATATTTATTGTCACCAAGCTAATAATTGAATGAAACCGTCACTACCTATCTCTTTTTTTTTATCATTAAAAATGAGTGGGGATAAAGAAGAGAGTCAAGAGATGACCCCGACAAATTTTCAATAGTGACATCATGAGCTCTTGATCACGCTCGTTATTCCTTTTAAAAATAAACCTAATTAAACTAATATATCGATCAATTACCGAACCCACTAAGAATTTTAAAATTTAAACCTCTAACTCCAAAAGCAACAAGTTTGACATTATCTTCCTGGACCCCTCCACCGCGAATCTAACTCTGCAGATTTTGAAAAGGAAACATATTGGCTTGTCACCATGCTAATAATTGAATGAACCACCACCCAATTATCTAACTCAGCAGATTTGGTGACAGACAAGCATCATTCATCCCAGAACCACTAAAAATTAAATATAAATAATACATAGGGCATTAAATCGATCTGTTATAAAAATAAAGATGATGTTATCTCATTTATTTTCCATACCAACTGCCACGTCAATTAGACTTTGAACCTAAATGGCACCCTATTGAATTTATTGTGGATCATTGATATTTTATTAATTTAATTCTCATCATTGATATTTTATTAATTTAATTCTCATCGTTAAGTTATTTAGTGACATGATTGATCATAATCATTGAATTAATAATGTGTCTCAACTAATAGTAAGATTCATTGTCAATGTAACTATAAAAAATGATAAGATAACTAAATTAGATTATTAAATAAGGTCTATTTAGCATTGCCCATTATTGAAGAAATCAACATTTTATGTCGAGAAATATTATTTGAATCTAAAAATTTGACGTAATTTGTTGACATAAAGATGTGGCTTCATAAAAATCATTGGATCGACACCAAATTTCAATATTTAATGGGATCTATAGTAAATTTAAATATCACAATAAATTAAATTAATAAATTATGTTAATAATATCATTTCTCTTTTAAGTCCAAGTAACATTTTTCTGCTATATAATAGAAGTCCTAGCTTGTTCCCTTCCAAGCTACACAAGAGAGATGGGTTCCATTGTAGAAGCTGATAAGCCTCATGCTGTGTGTATTCCATATCCAGCACAGGGCCACATAAACCCATTGCTGAAACTAGCAAAACTTCTACACCACAAAGGCTTTCACATAACCTTTGTCAACACAGAGTACAACCACAAACGCTTGCTCGAGTCCAGAGGCCCCAACTCTCTCGACGGCTTGCCGGACTTCCGGTTCGATACCATCCCTGACGGCCTCCCTCTTTCCGACTCCACCGACGCCACCCAAGACATCCCTTCTCTCTCCAACTCCATCTCTAAAAACTGCTTAACCCCTTTCTGCAATCTTATTTCTAAACTCAACAACGCCTCAACTTCCGACGCCCCGCCGGTGAGCTGTATCGTCTCCGATGGTTGCATGAGCTTCACCCTCAAAGCTGCTGACAGATTTGGTCTCCCTGAAGTTCTCTTCTGGACAACAAGCGCATGTGGCTTCTTGTGCTATACACAGTATCGCCATCTTGTTGAAAGAGGTTTTACACCACTAAAAGGTACTATATATATAAATATGTCAATTATGCCTCGTACGGAATAATAAAAAAAAATAATATGTTTGTATTTACACTTAAAATTAAATCATAAACATAGAAGAGAAATAATAAAATTTAAGATTGTAATAGGGGTGAGCGATTGTATGGTGGTGGGTAATAGTAGTAATAGTGGGAGACGGTGATAATTGTGGTGGGTAAAACGACGATCGTAATGGTAGTAGCAACCGTGGGTAGCAATGGTGATAGTAGAAGTGAATTTTGAGTGATGATAATGGTAATGACAGTCGTGGGTGACAACAGTGATGGTTGTGGGTGTGGGTGGTAGTGGACGACGGTGATGGTGGTTAGCAGTGGTGGTGGTGGTAGGACAACGACGGAGGTGGTGGACTGTGATGATGGTGGTGGTGTGCAACGATGGAAACTTCTAGGCGATAGTGTAATGGATGGTGGCAAATGGCGGCGGTGATAAGTGTGGTGGGGTTAGGTAACAATGGGTGGCTACAGTGGTAGGCAATGACAGATGATGGTGGTTGGTGGTGGTTAGTGTGGTGGGCTAGGTGACAGTGGTTGGTGGCGATGGTGGGGGATGATGGGTGGTGGTGGGTGCTGACGATGGGCGACGATGGTGATAATAATGATAATAAATATAAGAATAAGATGAGGATGGTGGTGGATAGTGGCGTGCGACAATGAGGGTGGGGTGGGTAGTGAGGATGGGGTGGGGCAGAGGGAATGGTGGTGGTAATTATAGTTGTGATGGTCATGGGGTGGTGGTGGGGGGTGATAAAGGTGAAGATGGTGGAACAGTAGTGTTGGTGGTAAGGTGCGACAGTGATTGTGATGATAGTAGGTGTGGAAGTGGTGGTTGTGAAGATGGGGTGGTGGAAGTGGACGATGGTAGTAGTGGTAGTGATGATAGTGGGGTGGTGGTGGTAGTGATAGGCAGTGGTGGTGGGGCAATGGAATGGTGATGATGGTGGTGGGTATGGTAGGGTGGCGATAATGATGGTAGTGGGGGTGGGGATGGTGGTGGTAGAGATAATGGTGGGTCGGTTTAAAACACACACACACACACACACACATATATATATATATATATATTATAAGAAATAATTGCTATAAATACTTTAAAAAGTCATTTCAAACACATTTTTAAGGACCTATTTTTTCTATTAAATTTGGGACATTAATATTAGTCGTTAGATTAACTTTAAAATAAAAATTAAAACGATATCAACTGCGAGTAGCAAAAATCATTTTGTTTATCTTTTGAAATTAAAATTGTATTGTACTATATATATATATATATATATATATATATATATTCACACCTAGAAATTTAACGTAATTTATTGATCTAATAATGTAATTTTTTTATAATCGCTAGATTAACACTGTATTTCAATGTTTAATCGGATCTATTGTCAATCTAATGACTATAGTAAATTAAGTCTTCAAATTATGTAAATAAATTCGGTAAGTTTATTGTTGGATCTTAAGGTCACGAATTCCAACCCCCTTGTCCTCCTCCGAACAATAGTATTTGTCCTATATTCTTTTAGTAGAAATGCACAAATTGAAGGTGCTATTGTTAAAATTATTTCTTTTGTCTTTTTTTTTAAAAAAAAACAAGGGAAAAGGCAAAGGTTTGGTCCCATATTTTTGCTGCAAGTAACAAAAGTAATGGAAAATCTCATATAGTGTTAAGAATAATTCTACCATTTAGAGAGGGATAAGATTGAGATTTCGAGTTTTTGCATCATATATAAAATTTACAACTAAATAAAGACTAGTTATCGATTATTTAACACCGAGTTACTATTTTAAAAAGTAAGTTACAATTCAATGAGATTCAATTATGATTTTTGAAAAAACAGAATCCATTCTGATTAAAATGTGATAATCGTTCGCAAATAATCTTTTTCTTTTTTATATCACCAAATTGCAAATGTTACCTAAACTTTATTTTAGGAAAAATGTTATTTGAATATAATTTAGGAAGCCAATATAGATAGGGATCTTATTCAATGTAACCAAGTGATTACATTGAATTAGGTTATAACATTGCTCTTCTACTAGAGATCTTTGACACAATTTGAATAGTAAATTTCATTATAGTACAAAATCAAATCAATCTGTTTTTTTTTTAGGGAAATAAATAAATTCTAGGATAAAAATCTAATTGGCATCTAAATTTTGCTTTCGGTTTTAATTTGGTCCCTAAACATTTAATTGTCTCAATTTAGACCTTCAATTATAAATTTCATATCAATTAAGTTCTTCCGTCTATTTTTACAGTTATATCAAATGGAGACTAGTCCGATCTAATTAATATTCACTATTAAATCATATGTTTTCATTGGATCTAATAGTAAAAAATTGAGAAAATGATTTCATCGAGACGAAATTAATAGTTAAGAGACTAAATTGAGACAATTGAAAGATGAGGGACCAAATTAACAACGAAATCGAAGTTCAAGAGCTAATTATGAAATTTACCCTAAATTCTATGTATCAAAAGCTATACATATACATGTGTAGGGTGACACTCTTACACAATACGGTAAGTATTACCTATTGTAACTTTGCAACATATACAAGAGGCAAGATGTAGAGTTCTAGAGGAAGTAAAGTTCTTGAGCCGATTTACCTTTTATATGTCTGATTTGCATGCAGATACAAGTTATGTGACAAATGGGTATTTGGAGACAAGTATAGATTGGGTTCCAGGAATGAAAGATATCCGATTGAGAGATTTTCCAAGTTTCATCAGAACCACAGACCCAGATGACATTATGCTCAACTTCCTCCTCAATGAAGCTGGTGCCATTACCAAAGCTTCCGCTATCATTTTGAACACCTTCGATGCCTTGGAACATGATGTTCTACAAGCTCTTTCGACCATGCAAATACCTCAGATATTAACCCTGGGTCCATTACAGTTGATGGTAATTAGTCAAATTCAGGACGAAAAGCTTAAATCCATTGACTCAAACCTTTGGAAAGAGGAACCATCTTGCATTGAATGGCTGAACAACCAAAAACCCAACTCAGTAGTGTACGTGAACTTTGGAAGTATCACTGTAATAACACCTCAACAACTCACTGAGTTTGCATGGGGCCTATCTAATAGTAAGAAATCTTTCTTGTGGATCATAAGACCTGATATTGTCGCCGTTGACTCGGCCATGTTGCCACTGGAGTTTGTGACGGAGACTAAAGAGAGAGGCATGCTGGCAAGCTGGTGTCCACAGGAACAAGTCCTGAATCACTCGGCTATTGGAGGGTTCTTAACGCACAGTGGGTGGAATTCCACCATTGAAAGTGTTTGTGGTGGTGTTCCAATGATTTGTTGGCCATTTTTTGCTGAGCAACAAACAAATTGTAGATACAGTTGTACTGAATGGGGAATGGGCATGGAGATTGATAGTGATGTGAAGAGAAATGAAGTGGAGATGCTTGTAAGGGAGTTGATGGACGGAGAGAAGGGTAAGGAGATGAAGAAGAAAGCAATGGAGTGGAAGAAGAAAGCAGAAGAGGCCAGTGGACCTGGTGGGTCCTCTCACACAAACTTTGGTAAACTAATCAGTGAGGTGCTCTTAGCAAAGCAACTTTGTTGAAGAGTAATGCTCAGACCCAAAAAAAAATAATAATAAAGATCAAATGATGTGGTATTACTTGTAGTACATCATTTAGTCCTCGTTGTTGGTCCTATATTTTTGTCATAGCTTAGTTGAAGGGTGGGCTATGTTGGGCATGTAAATCAATCCTTCTACCTTTTCTAAGAATAATACACAAGTCTCAATAACTAGTTATTTAAACTAGTGATTTGCTTCAGATACTGATTACTCAAACCCTGTCATTTACATACCCATGATTCAAATTTTGTTATCCTTGAAGGTGTGTTTGTCAGATACCTGGGAATAATTTTGAGGAATTTCTAGTTATTTTCTCAAGGAAAAATCCAAAATTAAAGCCCTAGAATAGAGTATTGGGGCTAAGATTCAAGGATGGGTAAAGTTTGCTCCCATATAAACACTATGCATCACTAAACTTAGGGGTCATAATTTTTGATACAATACAAAAATACGATTCAAAATCGATACGAAATTACCATATTCTGGTTGATCACTTCTCACACGAATTGGTAATGACATGACCTGCAAATACAAATAATAAATGGGTCGAGTTAGTGTTAAACACAAATAACACAAAATTAACACGCCTAACATGTGTTAACTATTATTATAGGAATAAAATATCAATTTTTTGTTATTTATAATCAAGTATTGGCATAATTCTTATACAAAACAATACGTTTTTACTCATTTTTGTTATTATATTTACTAAACATATTTTTAGTATATAGTTTTTACTCATTTTTGTTATTACATTTATTTAATTAATTTGTATTATATATAAAAAAATATGAGCATGCATTCGGTTAAGTGATAGTAAAATCTTAAACTTATATTTTTACTTTAAATTTTTTATTCACGAGTTACATGCATCAACACAAAAATAAACAAGTGAGATCGACATGTTATAATAAATTAAACAAGTCAAATTAGAGTTAACTAGTGCTCAATACGAACCCATAAATAATCCGAACCCATAAATAATCCGAGAAGAACACGCCCGACATCACACCATTACCACTACCCACAAGTAAACAAAAATGCCCCACATGACACGATTACTACTGACCCCAAGTACGAAAAACGAGTAATCCAAATGGTTGCTCACAATAAAAAAACACTAATGCTACTGAGTTGGGCCCGGAAATTTAATTAGGGTAATTAAAGGCACATGGATCAATCATGACCCACCAATTTATTGGGATGTGAACCATAAAATTGACAGCAAGAGTTAGGGTTATTCGGTGGCTGATTCCGATAATTTAGAGTTTTTAGGTTTAAATTTTTTTTTATATATTTTATGGGTTAGTCATCCTTATCCTTTTAGAGGTATACTCTTATTTAGTTCAAGTCACAGTAGTCGGTGGTTAAACTTAATAGAATAGTTACCGCAAGTTTAAACACCCTGTAAAAAAAACATAAACAATATTACGTGTAAATTAAGCTATCACTATATATATGTACCCAATAAAGAAACAAGGAGTCATCTATGGTACCCAAAAAAAAAAAAATTCGGTACCATACTGATTTTTAACGATATTTGTAATTATTTTTATCATATTTTTGTGTTTTTTCGATACCGTGGACTTTCCACAATAAGAAAAAAAAAAGAAGAAGAAAAGAATTGAAAGATTTTACCTAAAAGGAAACTAGGATGGCACAACCAGAATTCTACATTGTGGCCATCAATTACGTCAGATCTAGGTGAGGAAAGCTACCATGTGGTATCTTTATTCAGGTCAATTATTGTGAAAGCTAACTATTTTGTTTCGTATGTATCTCGCGTGATTGTATTTGAGGCAATTTCTTTGAAAATTTTAGAAATTAAAGTGACGCAAACTATAGAATTTAAATACCAAAATAATATAAGTTACATAATTGAGAAATCTAACTGCTTAAGTGTGGTCACGTAATCATCTTTGTTAGTCAATTCAAATTGTCGTTTAAATTGAACTAAAATGAAACACAAATTGAGAAGTTAAGAGACTACATTGACACGATTCAAAAATTATGGACTAAATTGACACAAAACGCATGCTTGAAAGACTATTAATGTATTTCACCAAAAAAAAAAAAAAATTGATACCGTACTAAAAGTTATTATTTTTAACAGTAGGTCTACACCATTGAAAGAAAAAGTTGCAAGTCCTAACTTCTTTTTTATGAGTAATGGGATTGGTTTGAGTAGTTATAGCTTATCTTTTATGAATTATAATTTGATTTTTAAAAATTATAATTTAACATTTGAAAATTGTAATTTTCAATATCGATCATAATGTTTTAGAGTCGATCATACACTTTACAAGTTGTAACTTGCACCTCAAAAAATTATAATATAATCATAAAAAGTTTTAATTTTTGGAACCATGGTCTTTCCTTTTTAACTAATCTTTTTGTTTTGTTTTTATTTGGGGAGAGGGGGAGGGGGGTTGTTGGTAATTATTTAATTTCATATATGACTACATAAAACAGGTATTGTTATCAAAACAATACATATTACTTTCTTCGGCTTTCTTTTCTCCAAGAATAACAGTAAGGGTGTGAACTCACCACCGAGTGGGATGGGTCCAATGGAATATCAATCGAAGTTCTTATTTTGAGGTTGAAGGCTAGGGTCTTGGAGTCCACGTTAGAGTTTGGTGGTTGACTGTTATACTAGTCTAACTAAATTCAATCCCAAGATGAGTAACTAATGCGGTCAGGTGCCTCATAATTCTACCAGTAAAGACCTATCGAGATGGGTGGTCTCTGAGTGCTCTCTTTGTCCTACCCTCTTTTTTAAGTTTAAAAAAAAAAGGTGTGAACTCAAGTTTATTAAGTAGAATACTAGTACTATTGGAATATTGACCTAATATTATTTTAAAGATATATTTGCTAACATGATTCCTAGAAAAAAAAAATAATCAGCCTATTTAATATTATAGTTAGAAAGTTGAATCCTCAATTTATAAAAATACAACGGCTAAGATTGATCTAATATTCATTTATTTTTGATCCAATTGTATAAAATTCATCTGAAATTTTTTTTTTCCTGCACAAAAATATTTTTTTTGTACAACTCTTAATGTCAAATAACTCAATCAACATATCAACACGAGTCCAATGTCGAACAATCTCATCATTTCATATCTATCTCTTTTCATTTTAATTTTAAATTATATAATTTAAAAAATAAATTATAATTTAAAATATAAATATTGTAGAATCAATATTTAATGTTTAATATTGTATAATGTCTTACAATATGAAGTTATTGTTAGTATAATTATATCGTAGGTTAGATGCAATTATTGGACACAAATATCATTCACCAACGTGCTAATATAGATTGCCTTCCCTTTCAAGCCAGACATGGTGAGTTGGATCATGTCCTTTTATGATACCAATCACCCAGTAGCCAAAGATCTGCCGAGTGTTTACCCAAAAAAGATCTGCCAATCACTCAATACTATTCGGAATCTACATCTAGAACAAGGGAAAGTCCACCGTACCAAGTCAATATCGTATCATCACTTATTATTTTTATGATAAAATTATAACTCAAAAGAAGAATTATAATTGTTTAAAAAAATTTATGATCGATTAAGGGGATCATAATTGATCACAGATACACATGATCAATCATAAACTCTCCCTAAACAGTTATAACTTATCTCTTATGAATTATAACTTAACTTTTAAAAGGTAGAACTTCGTTATCAATCTCAATCTATTATGATCGATTATGACCTTTAAAAATTATAATTTACGCTTCAAATAAATGGAAGTGGTTATAAATTTCGGTGATATCATCATTTTTTGTTCATCTCCATATTTCCCCATAACTGTATTGACTGCCATGCTTGAGGTAATCTAGGGTTTGGACAGAAGTACATCGTTCACAAGTTTGTCGAAATTCAAGTATGATGAACCACCTGAAACTATGGCCTCTTCTGCCAATTTTTTCCACTCCATAGCTTTTTTCTTCATCTTCTTACCCTTCTCTCCATCCATTAACTCTCTCACAAGCTTCTCCACCTCATCTCTCTTCATATCATTATCTATCTCCAAACCAACACCCCATTCAGTGCATGCATACCTACAGTTAATTTGCTGATCGGCGAAAAATGGCCAGCAAACCATAGGCACACCGCTGGACAGGCTTTCAATGGTAGAGTTCCATCCACAATGTGTCAAGAACCCTCCAATAGACGGGTGCCCGAGCACTTTCTCTTGCGGGCACCATCTGGAAATCAGACCTCTTTCTCTAGTTTCATCAATGAATGCTGGTGTCAGTATGGCGGAAGCGGAATCACCCACCACTAAGTCATCCCTTATTATCCAGAGGAAGTTCTTCTTGCTGTTAGCAAGTCCCCAGGCCAACTCAATGAGTTGTTCCCGAGTCATTACTGTGATGCTGCCAAAGTTCACATAAACCACCGAGTTGGACTTCTTCGAGTTAAGCCATTGGAGACACTCTGGTTCTTCTTTCCACAGACTAGATCCAACAGATTTCAGACTGCTTTGTGGGAGTTGATTGACAAGCAAGTGAAGAGGGCCGATGGAGTAAATTGGAGGGCACATCGACGACAGAGCTTCTATAACATAGTGCTCTAATGCATCAAAAGTATTGAAAATGATTGCCGATGCCAGTGAACATCTATCAGTTTCTCGCGCCATGAAGTCCATCATAAGATCATTTGGATCCGTTGTCCGAATAAAGCTTGGGAAATCTCTAAGCCGCATATCTTTCATCCCTGGAATCCAGTCTATGACAGTGTCCAAATACCCATTTCTCAAATAGCTTGAATCTGCAACACAAATTAAAATCATGAAAGTTTGAGTGTTCGACTATTAGAATCTAGGTTTGTATACTTACAATTGGAATCAAATTTAACCTCAAACTATACATATAAGCCTTGTGTTAATTAGGCTCTGAACTTTTTAATTGTGTTAATTGAGTCTGCTGTCTACCTCTGTAAGAGTGCTGCTTTTAAAATCCAGTGTCCCATACAATTGAATCAAACTTGACACAAAATTGAAGCTCAACTTTACAATAAGTCTGGGCTTCTAATATCAAATACATCAAAGTTATTGTAGCAGAGATCTAAATAAAAGCATGCATCAAAAGCCAAAAAATGTAGAGATACAGATACATATACGTAAATCTACCGACATGAAAACACATGAACAAAAGTTTATATATATATAACAGTAGTATAGAGATATTTCTCTGGGTGATGTACCTCTGAGAGGTACAAGACCTCTTTCTATAAGAAGGTGAGTGGTTTTATTGCACAAGAAGCTGCAAGTGCTCGTAGTCCGGAAGAGTACACCAGGAACACCAATTTCTTTTGCAGCTACGAGGGAAAAGGTCATAATGGCATCTGAAATTATGCATGTCACCGGCGGAACATCTGAAAGGGAAGTGCCATTGAGTTTCCCCAGAAGTAGGCGAAAGGGCACCAAACAGTATTTTCTGGTGGAATCACAGAGAGATGGAATGTCTTGGGTGGCATTGAGGTCGGTGGGAGGAAGGCCATCGGCAATGGTTTTAAAGCAGAAGGCCGGCAAGCCGTCGAGATAGTTGGGGCCTCTAGACTTGAGCAAGCGTTTGTGGTTGTGTTCTGTGTTGACAAAAGTTATGTGAAAGCCTCTATGGTAAAGAAGCATTGCTAGCTTGAGCATGGGGTTTATGTGACCCTGGGCTGGAAATGGTAGACATACAGCATGAGGCTTATGAGCTGTGGGAGCAGGAGCAGAACCCATCTTTGCGCCTGCCTGCGTGATGAAGCTTTAATCTATTGTGTTTACAAGGTCTGAGAACGAATTCTCGTCCACCGTATGACTGACTGGCAATTACTAGCGATCTGGCCTATAAATTATAAGTGATTCAATGCTCTACACTAACTGACAAGATCTAACATGGACCGACATACATCGTTATCATGTGTACGACAACAGCAAGTTTATATATATACAACAACCAGCATCACGTGACGTACATAATTTATAATCTGTCTTGTTCTCACCCTTCCAGACTTTTCTCTTTTCCCATCACAAAACATGGACAGTTAGAGAATTATTAAAGTTTTCAGGGAATCAAAATTGATTTTTTCAAAAAACATTGAATGACAAGTCGTTAATTAGTGCGACAATAGAAGGATAGTTATGCACGCCAAGTGTTAGTTTTCCATTGGAGAAAATCTAACTTAGTAATTAATTAAATGAAAATTCTAGATATTAAGAAAACTGGGTGGGAAGCTTCTCAAACCCTTCCTCCCAAAAAAAAAAAAACGATTAATTTATATATAGCTAGATTTGTCTGCTAATATGATGGATACTATAATGTTGGAAGATAATATCATTATATACTAATTATAATTTTTTAAGCAAAAAAATATATTTTTATTTATGATTTTATTTCAATAAATGTCATAATAGAACACGAATTTTGGTTATAAAATTTAAAATATTTGATATTCTATATTTGATTGAAGTATTTTTGATTTAAATATAACATTTTAAACTTGAAAGATATAAGTATTACACTCCTATAAATTTCAGGGGATCTGAGTACTATTAACAAAGGTCTTCAAATGTCAAAAAATTTAAGTGATTAACTGACAAACTTAAAAAAAATCTGAGTGTAATTATTGTTATAATTTTATACGGAGATATAATGATATAATATGATGTGTACTTTTTCATTCTTTCCACTTTTCGTACACACCAAACATGAGCATGTACTCCTAGTCTTACTCTCCATGCCTTCTACCACAACATGAGAAGTGGAGAGAATGAAAAGCTTATCCTATCCCTCCTATCTTTTTTCCTTCCAGTTTTTCATTCATTGTACCAAAAACGGACCCTAAATGTAAATTTGGACCAATGCCTTACATGTAATGAATAATTTGGGAAGTGCATTTTTTTTTTTTTTCAACTAACATTGCCATGAGGGTTGGGTTATTTTGGCTTAAGCAAAAACAGAGTTTCTCACTTTGAACAATAAGCAAAACCTGAATAGAATTGAGTGCGAAAACGCCTCTAGATGCAGTTGTTAACATCAGTTTTCTAACAAGTTACATCAGCGAAGGACAAATGAAAGAGGCAAGTAGTATTGATTCATACCTTTTTTTCTTTTTCTTCACCTCCACGAATCTATTTGCTAATTAATGGCTGATATATGACCCAATTAGATTGCTGAGAAAGCACCAAAACCTCCTCTGAAACCTCATACCCCACTAACAAAACCTGCCGCGGGCATCGAACCCCCCTCCCCCCTCTCTCTCTCTGTGCAAAACATATAAACATAGAAGTGGGTTTGAGATTTTTTTTTTTTTGGGTTTTGGGGGTTTTTGGAGGGGAGATAGGGTGTCCATGGTTCGGGTTACTCGTGGGTCTGTTACTTAACTCTGAAAAAATAGATTTGAAATTTGATAGACCTGATTTTTGGCCTGCCCAAATCTAATATATCTTTAAAAAGAGGGGTTTGAATTTGTCCCAAACCCATTACCTAGCCCGAAACATTATCCAATAGCCGTCCACCAAAAACCATTAAAATTCAGCCCAAAAGTCCACTCACCAAGCCCAACCCGTCCACCATTCCCTTGAAAAAAAATTATACTTTTAGATCATTACATTTGAAACTTTGAAATAAGTCTCCCAATATCTGAATTTGAAGTTTTAAAAATTTAGATATTATAAATAATATATTATTTTCTTTTGCATGTATTAAGTATATAAGTTTTAAAGGGTATAGTAATGCAAATGATAGATAAGTGAGTAGGTATCAACCTAGTTAGAATGTATTCATTCTATTGGATGTAGTTCATCCCCTAATTAAAAATAAAATTATTCATTATTTTATTTTTATCCATTTTAACTCTACTTTTGATTCAAAAATATAATTTACACAAATTTTAAGTTACAAAAATATTTATTATTTTTAAATAAAATTATATATAAAAATACCTGCGAGCAACCTGCCCAATAGACATATGGGTTAAGTTACGAGTTAAGTCTGGCCTACTCAATAACTCACTTGGGTAAGAACTTAGGCCTACACTACACAACTCAATCCGAAAAAATTCTTATGGGCCTAACCTGGCCCAGTCCCATGGAGTAGGGCAAAGAGGGTTGAAGTTACGTAAAATATATTTCCAATCATATCAATAATATGCTCTAAAACGCCACAAAACCCGGGGTTGAAGTTATATAATGTTGTGTGTGTATATATATATATATATATATAGTATTTAGGTTTTTTTTATGAGCCTTGTGTAATTATCGAGGAGTGAGATAAAGGAGACAATGATCATTTGTGTGCGTGATTATAAAGAAATGAGATATAGAAAGAATTATCGTCTGCATGCGTAATTATCAAAAAGACAGATAAAGAGAGAATAAGAAAGAGATAAAAGAATGATCGTGTGCAAAACAATTTATGTCAAAAAAAATTAATTGACCGTATCAAAAATTGAAAGTTGAAAGTCCTACTGATTGACTACGAATACGTTGCACTTACCAAAACCCAAATTAGTCCCAAAATTTATACATAATTGCAGCAAATAAGTAATCGAGAATACAATAATGAAAATTCAAGAAAATAGAGAAGAGTTGCATAAATTTACACTCAATTTCAAATAATATATGATAACAAAAAAGTTAGCAGCAGTGAACCAAGTTTTCATACAATTATCAGAAAAGAACTTCTCTAATTTTCTCTCTCTTCATCCCTTTCAATGTACTTATAATGCATAGTACAAAATCTAAACCACCCTCCCCCAAAATTCCCTAACACCAACAGCAGCTTCATGTAGATCGTTCGAGAAATAGCACCAAAATTTTTAGCAACAAAACAACTTGGGGCAAAACCTACAGTTTTCAATTTTTTATGGGGAAACCTCACTATCTCCTACTGTTGAGAGGTTTGGCCTTGTTCAGGTCAGCAAGTTCTTCAATGAGCTTCCTCTCTTCACCACTCAACCGTTTTGGTATCTCAACTTGCACTCTTACCAACTGATCACCCCTCATGTTGCTTTTATTCAGAAACGGCACGCCTTTTTTTGCCATCACTAGTGTCGTACCTGGCTGGGTACCAGATGGAATCTTCAAATCAACCGTACCATCGACAGTAGGAACCTTCACTGTTGTTCCTAAGATAGCATCAATGTAAGAAACCTTGCAAGTGTAGAGAATATTGGTGTCATCCCGTTTCAATACAGGGTCTGAAAGAACTTCAATGCTCACGAAAAGGTCTCCTGGGGGTCCTCCTCTCCTCCCTGCATTACCTTCTGACCGGACCCTTAAACGGCTGCCGGAATCTACGCCAGCAGGGACTTTCAGGCTAATCCGCTTTGACTTCCTTACCCGTCCATCCCCACCGCACGTGTTGCAAGGAGTAGAAATCTCCCCAGTCCCACCACAAGTAGAGCAGGTCATTACCTGTTGGAAGACACCCAGTGGAGTTCTTGCAGAGGAGACAACTTGCCCTTGCCCACCACATGTGCTACATGTGGATGGCCTGGTTCCTGGCTTGGCACCAGATCCATCACAGGTGCTACAGCTCTCAAGTCGAGTTATTTCTATCTCCTTTTCAACCCCAAAAACGGCTTCTTTAAAATTCAAGATCAGATTGTAGATCTGATCTTCTCCCTCTCTAGCCCTGTTTCGAGAGCCTCTTCCCCCCATGCTCATGCCGCCCATGCCATCAAATAACGATTCAAACAGATCAAAGGGGTTGCTGAAATCCTATCAAAATGGAGCAATCCAGGTGTAAGAACACTTGTAGATTGAAACACTGGGTTATAATTGGAATACCACTAATTTCTTCCATTTTTTAGAACTAAGGAACTCACCCCCGTGCCGACGCCAGCACCTTTAAGCCCAGCCTCCCCATACTTATCGTATATAGAACGTTTCTCATCATCTGATAATACCTGCAACACAAATTTGTAATATAACAATTGATTGCTCAACTAGCGAAAGTGACTAGACCTGCAACTGCTCAGTCAAGAATTGTCAAACTGAGTAATACACGGGACGAGGATGGGATGCTTAACCTCATAAGCATTGCTAATCTCCTTAAATTTCTGTTCTGCTTCAGGTTCTCTGCAGGAAATCAAGATGATTATAAGTTCAAACAGGCATCTTATAATTATTTCAAAGTAAAGAAGAGAGCATGAACAAATTCTCTAAGCAGGAAAAACCCATATCTTCACTTATCCTATTGCAGTGCAAACTCGTACTATCAATAGTAACAACAGTGCAATATCTCAGAAAGAATGTTTTGCCTGTGCTGTAATTGCCCGCTTGCATAAAAATAAATAGCGCTCCTCTAATCTCCTCCGCTCATGACCACATCTAACAAGTACATGACCTTCTCAATTGGCAGTTTCAAATAGCCAAAAAATGTAAATATAATTCCTGCCTTTGCATGGAACCATTTCATGCATGCATAAGATATTTTGTTACACCGTTCAAATGCAATTCAAGTGAGCAAGTAACCTTCTTCCAACAAGATTAGGCGTTTCACAGCATTAGCTAACTTATAATGTCTTCTCTCAAAAGAGACCTTGAGCAACCTATTATAAGTGCCTCCTTTTGGATATCAAAGTAAGATATCCAAGACCACACTCTTCTGAAGGAAGAAGTCTTTCTTCAGCATAGCAACTTCTGACCCAAGCTATTGCAACGCTTGGAAGTTTTTTTTCCAGAAAGAAATCTTAATTCCTTCAATTCTTTTGTATCACTTTCTAGACACTCTGGCAAATTAAGTAAAAAATGGATGATATCTACGCTGTGGCAAGGCGGACATACTAAATAGGCAGAATATGACAACTCTATCCTATCTATATCCCTACTTCCACATGATTCCATAAAATTTACCAAAACAACCTCGAAGACACTTTCAGCACATACTAAACAGAACATTTCTAGAAAATTATTTTTAAAAAAATAGATGCCAAATAAAGCCTATGCCAATTCAAGCGAGGCTCTGGTTTCAATTAGATCTAAGACAACAATAGAAATCATAAAACAATGCTGCACCAGGTAAAGTCTATGAAAGCTTGTATCTCTAGATTGACGGCTAATGACAATGGCTTCAAGGGCTGACAAAACCTCTTCAACACACTAATCACCTCAGTTATTCGAATTTAAGTCTCTACAGCTTTATTTATCTTCTCAGTTTTCACAATGTACGCACATGCATACTACCTTAAAAATCAAAAGAATGTACAAACTGCTGTTTTTGGAGTCCGTACTGCTCATACACCCCATGATTAAGTTGTGATACAGGATCACAGCTTGCAAGTCATCATTGCTCAAACAATATTCACCTTTAATGCCAGACAGATGCAACAGTTTCAGCATTTCAGTTCTACAATAAAAATTAGTGTCTGAATTTACTCTCATATAGATTAAAAATAAATAATTTTTAGAAAAAAAGGTTTTCAGAAGAGAATTAGAATTTGGTGGTGCCACACAATTCACAATCAACAAAACATTTATGAAGTGACGATAATCAAATTAAAATAATGAGAAGAAGAAAAAAGAATACAAACTGAGTGAGAGAGAAGAAAGAAAAGGGACACGAAATAATCACAAAATACCATACTTGTTCACATCAGGATGGTAACTCCGGGCAAGCTTTCGATAAACTGAACATGGAAAAATTTAAGAGTCAGCAATAGGAATCAAGCATATAATGATCTAGCATATCACAAAATATTAGGTATAAAAACTGGATCCGTAAGCATAGTTGAAATGAATAATCGCACCAAGAAGACATACAGAAACTAATTTACAGAATTTGTACTTCTAAGCACCATCATGTACAAGGGAAGGTTAAAATGCAAGCAACATGAGGCCCCAGTACGGAGAGAACTATGCCCAATCATAAAGGAGATTTCTTGAAGGAATGCAAAGCATTCTTGATGACTAGAACCACACATGCAACACACACGCTGTTAGAAGATTCCTATGTGTACACGGAACATTCTCATGCAATGATACCAGAGCTCAGTCAAATTCACTTAATATTTCAACAGAACCAAGGGAAAGCAAACACTGGTTCCTAGAGTCCTAAGAAGTTTGTTAGAGCATCTAACCTAAAACCAATTGGCAATGGGTGGAGTAGGCCCCCGAGTATATAAACCAATCTTGGCGGTCCCAATTATTCGATATGAGATACAAACTCTCTTAACGCCCTCCCTCATGTGGGACCCGGGCTCGCACGTGAGGCCAACAAACAAACAAACAAACAACCGTACATGCCAGGAAATTCAAATGGATAAGAAACTTGATCCACTAACCATCCAAAGCCAGCTCTAATCCTGTGTTAAGAGAATCTAACCCAAAACCAATTGGCAATTGGTGGAGTGATGCCTCAAGCATATAAACCAACCTCGGTGGTCCCAATTATTCGATGTAGGATACAAACACTCTTAACAAAGTTAGTAGTACCAATGTCATAATCATTAAGGCAAACTTTAAATTCCAAAATTTTTGCTTAGAATTGAAGATTCAGGTCTTGTAATCCAGCATTCCAACTACTTTAATAGGAAACAAAAACGTAAGATACAGAATGAGCAATTAATGTTCATTATACAATAACAAAGACATGCATAATGACACACTCAAAGCCAAGGCTAATTAAAAGAGAGTGATAATTAGACAATCGAATCCAAGTGTACAACATGCAACCTGAGAACAATAACTAGATCAGAATGGCCGTCAGAAATCTGATAGAGAAAGATCAACTGCATACTTACCACTTTTGATTTCTGATTTGCTGGCATTTTTTGACACACCAAGGACAGCATAGTAATCCTGTATACATGTGTTAATGTTCAAATTTAAACGCTACTAAATTTGCAAAACATTTAAATAACAGAGGATGAAAACCTGAATGATTAATATATGAAGAAGGGAATTCAAATAGCAAACTCACACTATCAGCTCTCACAATGAGATGAGATCCCCTGCGGCGACTCGAATTCTTCGATGATCCCAAATTAAATTGTGAACGTAAGGAATTTTGAGAAAAAATGGTTGAACTTGGTGAGGCCAATGTTCTCACCTTGCTTGAGACACTGCAAACAAAATGACAAGTCATTTACATGGTTACACCAAGATCATTGGTTAGTGAAAACTAAAAGGACATACAAGGCTGTTAATAGATACTACAGGCCTAGAAATTTACATAACCATTACATAACCAAGAATTTTCCATTACACATATATATATGAAATGTCACTTACAAACATCATGTCAAGCATCCATTCCAATATATATATATATATATATATATATATATATATATATATATATATATATATATATTTCATACACTAATGCTATAATTCCATGCCATTCTATGAGAGGAAAAGTCACGAATGCAATGCAACCCCAATCCCCACCGGAAAAATATTCATGGTGTCCACCCTAATTTAGGACTATACCTAGATAATTATCGACACATTACGTGCTGCCTTTGAATATTATTACCCATGAATTCTTAGATCTTTTGGTCATTGTATCCATTATTTAGGGAAATATATGATAGACTCAAGAGGTTCAAGGTTACTTTCATACATGAGCATTTGGATGCATAGTACCGGTTAATGAACAAGATATTACATCACAATGTCTACCCTAAGGGCTCTGAGAAGAAGCCTGGCATGCCCAAGATCGATATCACGGCCAACTTGAGAACCCAACAAATACATCTCTCATATATGATGCACTGAGGTTTTCTGTTTTACCAACAAATAATATTGCAAACAACTCCCTCCCTCCTATACCCGAACCAAACACACAATTAGTTTGAAGTTGGTGGACTATTCTAAGGAAAGCATGCAAATTAATTAAGTTTTAGCCCATGATTTATTTAAAAAGTAGATGTATATGGGTTAAGTATACTCCAAATGGCTCATGTGTTGTCAAGTTCACAAGTTAAATGCATCGACCATCACAAATCACATTTGTTAAACATGTAACCTGAGTATGTGGCCACATATTTAATTATCAAGTTTCTAATACTGATGTGCTCAAATCGATCAATTTGATCAAGCGCTCATACCTTTAGTTGACACGAAGAACAAACTTCTTGCGAAACTTAGCTATTATTTAACCCCTGCCCCCGCCCCCCCTCTTCAAACAAAAAAAAAAAAAGCATGCCACCCCATCACCAATCAGATTGATACCGGTGTACTAGGGATGGTAGGTCGGTTTGGTATATGGTACAGCTACGGAAACAAATACATTGATACGGTACTTAGATATGTCGTCCAATGAGTCGGACATGGATGCTAATTTGGATTGTAGTTCAATTTGGAACTCTCGTTTGGATTTTTTTATTATTATATGAACTTATAGATAAGGGAAAATTACACTCAGGCCCCTGAGGTTTATCTCTTAATCACTCAGATCCCCTAATATTTGAAATATTACACACAAACCCCCTGAGATTTGTATGCACGTAATACTTAGACCCTTATTGTCAATATCCGTTAGTGTATCTATTAGTTAATTACACCCAAGCTCCCTACTCCCTAAAGTTTGTAAGCGTATAATACTTATACCCCTCAAGTTTAAAATGTTATATTTAGACCAATAATACTCCAATTAAAGATAAAATATCAAATATTTTAAATTTTATAAACAAAATTCATATTCTATTATGACATTTATTTAAATAAAATCAAAAATAAAAATTTAATTAATTCTTAAAAAATTATAATTAGTATACAATTATACTATCCATTGAAATATAATTTAGTAATTTAAATGATCAATTAAAATACCAAATTATCCCAATTAAAGTTAGTAGATATTTTATACATTACAGTTTGACCCCTTATTTGATTTTTTTAGTCTTTTCCAATAAATAGTATAATTGTATATTAATTATAATTTTTTTTTTTAAATTAATTTATTTTATTTTATTTTAATAAATAACATAATAGAACATGAATTTTAGTTGTAAAATTCATATTCTATTATGAATGACTTAGATCCCTTATTTAATTTTTTAGTTTTATTCCAATAAATAGGATAATTATATACTAATTACGATTATTTGAATTTTTATTTTTGATTTTATTTCAATAAATGATACAGTAGAACATGAATTTGATTGTATAATCTAAAATATTTAATATTCTATTATTGATTAGAGTATTTTTTATCCAAGTAACTAAAGATAATTGTAAGTGAAAGGGATACCTAAACTAAGAGTAGAACCACCGTATATACAGCTAAACAATAGAATAAAGTGACCTGAACAGCCCTCTGGTCTAAGCAAAACATATAAGCAATAGTAAGGGTAAAAAGAAAAAAAGAAACCCTAATAAACTAGTCTATAACTCTAACAATCCCTTTCAAACTAGGCGCAAAAATGTCAGCAAAACCAAGCATGACAACCGAGTCTCGAAGAATGGATAAAGTGACAGGTTTTGTGAAAACATCCATAACCTGATCACTAGTCCCCTACAAACAATAGAGTGACAATACCACAACTAACCTTCTCCTGAAGAAAGTGAACATCAATCTCTATATGCTTCGTTCTCTAGTTAGTACAGAGTCAGAAGTGAGCTGAATAGCAGATCGATTATCATAATAAAATGTGGATCGAGAAATCACTGAAAATTCTAACTCGCCAAGAATTGATCGTAACTAGATAATCTCACACGTGTCAAGTGTCATTGCCTGATACTCTACCTTTGCTAACGAGCGAGAGCCAATTGCCTGCATCTTGCTCTTCTAAGAAATAAGATGAATCTCTCAAAAAGCACAGAATCCCGTACTAGATCGACCGTCACACACTCCATTGAAGAACAAGCTAGAAAACCCATCTGAGATCTTGATGTATAGAACAATCTAAGTTTAAGACAAGACTTGAGGCACCAAAGAATATGATAAATTGCATCAAGATGAGACTGACACAGCCTATGCATGAACTGACTAACTCGACTGACAGCGAATAAAATGTCTGGTCTAGTGTTGACTAGGTAGATAAGTCTACCTACTAACCCCTAATAAACAGTCGGATCTCTCAACTACTCACCTTCAGCAATAAGCTTCAAGTTTAGAATCATGGGTAATGATGCCGGTTTGCACCCCAGAATTCCAGTGTCTGAGAGAAGATCCAGAACATACTTCCTCTAAAAAAGAAAAATTTTCATACTACTACGAACAACCTTAATCCCAAGAGAATATCATAGAAATTCAAGGTCCTTCACATCGAAAGTCTTTCTAAAGTCTACCTCGACTAGTGCAGTCCCAGAAACATCATCCCCAGTAATAATAATATCATGCACATATACCAAAAAGATGACATATTGTCCAGGCGTATTCTGTCGAATGAAGCATGTATGATCAAAATGATATCTGATGAACCCTAAACGTACAATTAAACCACTAAACCAAGAGGACCAGGCTTGTGATGACTGTTTCAGTCTATAAAGAGACTTATGCAGTCGACACACCTTCCTAACATAATCCCCCTCACCACAAAGGTGAAGATGTTTATGGAGGGAGAAGGGTTGCGGGTGATTTTGGTGAAGGCTAGGTTTAGGTTTGGCGGGCTCTAATATCAACTAGAGATAACTATAAGTGAAAAAGATACCCAAACTAAGAGAAAAGCCCCGTGCATATAGTCAAACAATATTATAAAGTGACCTGAACATCCCTCTAGTCTAGGCAAAACATATAAGCAATAGTAAGGGTAAAAAATGAAAAAAAAACTCTAATAAACTAGACTCTAACTCTAACAAAGTATAATATTTTAAACTTAAAGGGTCTAAATATTATACACCTATAAAATTCAGGAGGTCTAAGTGTAATTTACTAACTGATATTGACGGCAAGAGTCTAAGTGTTATGTGCGTACAAACCTCAAGGGTTCTGTATATAATATTTCAAATGTCAGGAGGCCTGAGTGATTAAGTGAAAAACTTCTGGAGGTCTAGGTGTAATTCTCCCAAGATATAATTATGGTTCCATATACACGTAGTTAATTAATATTTATTTTATATTTATGACGATAGTTTCAAATCAAATCAAAATCTAAAACAAGGTAATGACTAATAGAATAGTTGTAACTAAAGTTAATAGTTGAATTAGTTGTGCTATGACAAAGATTTAAATCATAACCATCAAAATATAAGTATAGACACCACCAAAACACATAAATAAATCCTTGATAATAATTGCAACTTGCAGTTAAGGTTATATTAGGGTATTTGGATCGTGTATCTATTTAAGCTCAGCATATCGGTGGGGATCTCAAATTTTGACGATTTAGATTGCAAACTCATCTCATTTGAGGTTGTGCAACCCCAGATTGTGGGACGCATGGGGTAACCATGACCCCAATATCCTTGATTGAGGTAGTAGTCACAATATAATACCTTCAGAATGATACAGATAAGATTTATGTCCAAGATTCATATATAGGGATGTAGTGAAATAAATCTGAAGGAGAATAAAAAATAACTGCAACTAAGGTTGAAAATTCAATTATCAACAAGTCTATCTTTAATGTTTTCTATTAGTTTGGGTAAATGATACGCAAAGTTAGGACACAATCCAGATAATCAATTAGTAAAACAGGGGGCAAACACAAGCGCATCAAATGAAGTTAAAGTTACGGTAAGTGAAAAAAATAGTTTATGGAAAATCTGCCAAGGAAAAACCAACTAACATAGCAAGCACGCTTAAAAGTATAATATTGAATGGATGGCATAAGAAAATCCACAGTCTAATTTTTATTTTTTATTTTTTAGTTTTACATACAGGCTAAAAAAATTGACCTATTAGTCCGCATATTTATTGCAAAAACATAACTAAAAATGCTCACCCATGTGGAATTGTCAATAACTTGTTTGCAATAGTAGATCTTGAGCCAATCTGAAGCTGAACTCCCCAGTGAGCCACCCATGTGCTTCCAAAAGGAATGATTGCCATCAAATATGCTCTATAAAAAGGAAAACAGTAGATTAAGAAGTAGCATACTTCGACTTCAGCAACGTGAATTTGTTAGCTCAAAACTACAACAAAGTTATACTGTAGACAAAATAGAGAACACAATTGACTTGAACCTAGCATGCATTTTTTATCTGCATTAATGGGCACAAGAGATACAACAATGCTATAAGTATGAACAAAATCAATGCAGCTATACTCCTGAAAAGGTGTAAATTGCTGTATTCAAAACAATAAAATGTTGTCTTAAATTTTTGTGTCTTCGTTGACACATTCAATCAGTCAGGTTAGGTTCATACCAATTGGTATTAGAGCCTGCCCCACATCCTAAATTCAGGTCTTATAAGGCATAAAGTGTGTATTTGAATACTGGGACCAATTTTTTATTACACCACAAAGAAATCTGTGCCACAACAAGAGTGATTTTTCCTCTCCACTTTATCATCAAATATCCACCAAAGTAAAGGGAACTCAAACAAATGAAAATTTGCCATAAATGTATATCCGAAATAGAGAAAAATTCAAGCATATATACAACCAATAATGAAACATAGTACCAAGAACATCTACATTCTCACTAACTTCTCTATTTCATATTCCCATGTATTGTATATCATGATTTCTATGATTGGCGGAGGAATTTTTCCCTTAGGTAATGCGTTATTTAGGTCTTTGAAGTCAATGGAAACTCAAATCTGCCGGGTTTTGTATGTCTGTGAAGCAAGCTTAGCCAACCAATCGGAACATTCACGAAAGCCACGTCTTTTTCTTTTTTGACTTCTTTCTTAATCTTCTACAAAAAAAAAAATCCCCTCTTTGAAAAAAACTAGTTTCATGCAAAAAGTGAACATCAACCAATAGCAATTTTGGATTGTACAAATAACTCATTAAATGTGACTTCTGAAAAGGCCATTCTTATGCACCTTAATTGGATTGTCTCTTGAGAACTACAACTATCCAGTTCAAAATTTTGTTTATTCCTTCAGAGTAAGAACACTAAGGCCGTGTTTGATTAGCTTCTGTAAAACAGTTTTTTGTTCTCAAAATTTTAAAAACACCCAAAATCTGTTTGTTTAGCATTTTTATTCTCTAAATTTTGGGAAAAGAAATGAGATTTGAGTAAAAAAAACAGAAAACAAGTGTAGCTTGTTTTCAGAGTTTTCTTTGAAAATTTTAGAAACAAGGAGAACAATTTTAGATATTCAAATATGGATATATATATATATATATATATGATATTATATATAAATACGTATAAATATATATGTATAATATTTATATTATATATTTATATGTATTTATACATTTATATTTTATATATATTATGAAATTGTCAATATAAAAATAACTTTTTTATATTTTTTTATTAATGTTTGAATTACTCTTCAAATATATATTTAGGTTATCCAAACAGGTTTTACTATTTTTTATATTGTAAAATTATTTTTAAAATCATTTAACTAAACAAGTTTTTTATCTAAAAAAATATCAAAACCATTTTCTTAAAACTCTTCTCAAAACTGTTTTTGGATACTATTTTTTAAAATACAAACCAAAAAGGCCCTAAACTTCCCAGTCCACCACACCATAAACTATCCATCAAAAGAAAGTGGGGTGCAAAGGTTCAAATTTTCCATGGAAATGCAGTCAAATTGAATCTTCCAAGGAATCCTCGTAAGAACTTGTGCTCCTCCTTTTGGCCCCTTTAAGCTGATTTGGGAGTCAAAAAGCGCCCAAAGTAAATGTTTTGCTTGGACTGTAGCTTATAACAAAATGAATACCAAGGATTTACTTTATATAAGGAGAACTCAATGTGCATTGTCTCTGTAGGACATACAAGGAGCCGATTGATTGTCTTTTCCTTCACTGTCCAATAGTTTTTTCGAGACTATTTGCATTGCCTTAGTACTTCGCGTCATTGTGAGATGATTGTAGGGATTGCCTTTTAGGGTTTTAGTAGAAGTAAAAAGGACCCATAGCTTATGCAGATAGAAATGCTACACTACCCAACTTGTGGCCCAAAATATTCATCTCAAATGAGTTGGTACCTCACATTGTATGAAAAAACTAATATATTGGGCTCTACAGAGTGGTGTGTGAAGATGTCAACTCATTTGAAATGATTTTTTGGGATAATTTGGGCGATCAAAAATAAGTTTGACAATGATACAATGTTAGATACAGTTCACTACTTGGCTTCCTTTTTGGTTCAGTGGCTACTGAGTTATTAAGTAAATATTGGGTGTAATGGTGATATCACGTGACAATGTCACATCACCATTATTACATATTACAATCCAACAAATCTACACGTGGAACAAAGTGAACACCATTTTTTTTACACATGGTTGTTATTTTCTTACATGGACATGGTAGTTACTAAATTAAAATGGTACAAGTTAGTTTATTATTGGCTAATAACACCAAGTGGCAATAGTGATGTAGTTTCATCATTACATTCAATATTTTCACGAGTTTGTGCATACTAGGGTATTTTTGTTGTGGAAAGCTATAGGAAAATTGTAATTGGTTAACTTCTGGCCACCCACCCACCCTTTGTTTTTCAAATGCACGGTTCTTTATTCCATGAATAATATTTCATTTTTGCTGATAAAAAAAAAACCATTAAGCAAACCACAAGCAAACGCTACTGATATTAGGGTTTTCCATTGATAATAAAGCTTATATACACATATAGATTCATAAAATGAATAGATGTACAGGGGAGCATTAAGAGTGGGGATTTGGGGCAATTTCAGAGGAAAAAAAAAATGGAGGGTCATGAAAAATGACGAACCTGAACTTGTATTTACTCCTGAGTCTTCCTACTGCTGAATTGAAGCTGTGGCTTTGTTTGTGAGGGTTGGTGGGGACTTTCTTTGGCGTAGGAGCAAAGGAAACTCTTTGAGCTGGGGGTCGAAGACGATGCTCCAAAGAGGAGGCTTAACGAGGTTTCGAGAACTCTACATATACGACCCGATAACCAGAAATTATAATTGAGTAAATATCACGCATACACCCCGTCAACTATCACCCTTTTTCTACTTTTTCCCCTTAACTATCAAATTTCTCACATTTAACGTCCATTTTAAAAATTTCTGTCTATTTTACTCATTAGAACAAATAGAGACAAGTTTTGTGTTTGTTATATGATCGTCCACTTCATATATCACCATTTGTTCTAATGGTTAAATTGACGGAATGTCTTGATTAACACAAAATTAATAATTAAAAGATAAAATTAAAGGGGTGTTAGTGTAGTTTTTCCTTTTCCTCTCTCATTTCTTCCTGCTTCTTTTCCCTCTTCTGCTACCACTAAAACCCTACTTTCGTCATCCACGACACACTCTCTCTCTCACATCACTCACACCATGGAAACAACAGACTCTCCCCTCGACTTCTCCGATAACGCCAACAACAATGTCACCACCACCTCCTCCTCCCCCTCAACCACCAACCACTCCCCTGATCCTCCCCAAACCACCACCGAGGGTGCCGTTTCCGACACCCCACTCAACGAAACCTCCGAACCAATGGGTCCAGACGACACCGCCGAACAGGTCCCCGACGACCAAAACCGATACCACCCATCGGAACCCGGTCCAGCTCTCAAAAAACGACGCCGTAAAAGGAAGCAATTCCCGGAGATGATCTCGTCCGCCGCGGCCGTAAACGGCCTCCGTGTCCTCCGCCCGCACACAAAACCCGCCACCACCTACAGTGAAACGGATGACTTGACCGACGACGATCCATCTGTAATCTCCAAACACCACCGCCGCCGCAGCGGCAAAATCTCTGATCTAGCCAAAGAAGTCGACATTGAAGCCCTAATCGCCATCTCCGTCGGATTTCCTATCGATTCTCTCACTGAAGAAGAAATCGAAGCTAACGTTGTGTCTCAAATTGGCGGTATCGAACAATCCAACTACATCGTTGTTCGCAACCACATTCTCGCCCGCTGGCGGTCGAACGTCTCGATCTGGCTCACCAAAGACCACGCCTTGGAATCAATTCGAGTCGAGCACCGAACCTTGGTAAATTCAGCCTATTCCTTCTTGATCAACCACGGTTACATCAATTTCGGCCTCGCTCCGGCCGTCAAAGAAGCCAAATTACGCCCCATTGACAGCATTGCAAGAGGGGATGTCATCGTAATCGGCGCCGGACTTTCGGGTCTGGTGGCTGCTCGGCAATTGATTTTTATGGGGTTTAAGGTTGTAGTACTCGAAGGTCGAACACGGCCCGGCGGCAGAGTCCACACGAAGAAAATGAGCGGTGGTGATAACGGTGTTGTGGCTGCCGCCGATTTGGGTGGGAGTGTTCTCACCGGAATCAATGGTAATCCGCTCGGGGTTCTAGCGAGACAATTAGGGTTTCCGCTTCATAAGGTGAGAGACATTTGCCCTCTTTATTTGCCTAATGGTAAGACTGTTAATTCGGAAATCGATTCAAATGTTGAGGTCTCATTTAATAAATTGTTAGATAGGGTTTGTAAGCTTAGGCAGGCAATGATGGAACAAGTGAAATCGGTGGATGTTTCGTTGGGGACGGCGTTAGAGGCGTTTAGGAGAGTATATAAGGTTGCTGAGGATCCATTAGAGAGGATGTTGTTGGATTGGCATTTGGCAAATTTGGAGTATGCCAATGCAACGTTGATGTCCAATCTGTCGATGGCATTTTGGGATCAGGATGATCCCTATGAGATGGGTGGAGATCATTGTTTCATTCCGGGAGGGAATGAAAGATTTGTCCGGGCATTGGCCGAGGATTTGCCAATTTTTTATGACCGGAAGGTAGAGAGTATTAGGTATGGGATTGATGGGGTTTTGGTGTATGCCGGTGGGCAAGAGTATCATGCAGATATGGTGCTTTGTACGGTATCATTGGGGGTGCTGAAGAAGGGAGTGATTGAGTTCGTTCCAGAACTTCCTAAACGAAAGAAAGATGCAATCGAGAGATTAGGTTTTGGGTTGTTGAATAAGGTTGCAATGTTATTTCCGTATGATTTTTGGGGTGGGGAGATTGATACCTTCGGGCATTTGACAGAGGACCCGAGTATGAGAGGCGAATTCTTTTTGTTTTATAGTTATTCTTCAGTGTCAGGAGGACCACTTCTTGTAGCTCTTGTTGCTGGAGATGCTGCGATTAAATTTGAAAAGATGTCTCCAGTAGAATCTTTGGAGAGGGTTATGGAAATTTTGAAGGGTATTTTTAGTCCGAAAGGGATTGCTGTTCCAGATCCACTACAGGCAGTTTGTACTCGTTGGGGACAAGATCAATATACTTATGGGTCTTACTCCTATGTTGCAATAGGTGCTTCAGGAGATGATTACGATATCCTGGCAGAGAGTGTTGGAGACACAGTTTTCTTTGCTGGAGAAGCAACTAACAAACAGTACCCGGCAACAATGCACGGAGCTTTTCTCAGTGGGATGAGGGAGGCTGCTAATATACTGAGAGTTGCTAAGAGGTCACCAGTTCTTGCTGAAAAAACAAACTGCCTTAATGAAGAAAGCGATGATGTAGATAGATTATTTGAGACCCCTGATCTTGCATTCGGTAGCTTCTCTGTTCTGTATGATCCCAGGTTGAATGATCTTGAATCTAATTCTTTATTGCGAGTTGCATTCAAATGTGAGCAATTAGACTGCAGCTGTCTGTATCTTTACGGATTGATACAGAAGGGACAGGTGATCAAACTCAGCTCATTGGATGGAGATGTAAACAGGATACAAATGTTGAATCGCGATTTTCGAGTGAGGTTGGTTGGGAGAAATAGTTTGTACTCTGCTGCAGAATCTCTTATCACCTGTATTAAGTCCGCTAGATCCTTCCTAACTTAGAGTTCAAGAACGATGCCTGGTGCACAATTATTGGGTGCAGTGCCTACAAGACTGCAGCTTCTCAGAGTTTCTTTGGGTGTGAAACTCGCTTAACTTGGACAGAGCTTCATGTGTATTAGGTAGGTTAAGATAGCATTAATTTGCATTCAGGTTGTGATTCTTGTACAATTAAAGCTTGGTACCTGTACAAAATTAGCATCAAATTCAGGTTAAGCCCATAATTTTTCCCTTGGTGGACAGCAAAATTGTGGTGGCATCTTCATAGAATTCATTAGTCCACCCTCATTGTTTTATATTCTACTGCTGCTGGAGGATCTACAAAATGAACTTTTCTTCTTTCTTTGCATTTCATTTGCACCAATCCTCTTGCTCTGGTCATTACTTGAGGGGCAAAACAATGGTTATTCTCAGGACATGAAATATGAGAAGTTAAGGTTAAGCTTCAGGATAGCTTGAATGTATAAACCTGTAGGTTAGTCTGCATTTCTTTGTTTCATGGCTATAAAATTATGTAATTAATTTGTTTTGATGCTTCCTTCATGTCATAGGATTTTGGATTTCATAGAATTCTTAATGATAGGGAATTTTGGAGATGGTTGAAATTCTTTCTTTGTTTAATAGTGTTTCTTTGACTGAAGGTTCTTTGGATCAAAGAGTTTAAACTATCGATTCTTCGGGTATTTTCTCTTATAAATCCTTTTCCTAGTTGCTAATTGCTGATCCATCTCTTCCGTTGTTTCCCCTTTTGAGGGTGATTTGGGAATCTAGAGTTCCTCTTAAGATGCAAATTTGTATATGGATAATTGCTCAGTTTAAGCTTAATACTTATGATGTGGTTTAAAGAAGAAGACCTAACATTTGTGTATCACTGCTGTGTTATGTGTAAAGGTGACGGGGAGAGTATTGATCATCTCTTCCTACACAATCCTATTGCATTTTCACTTTGCAACAAGCTCTTTAGGCTTGTTGATCATTGTTGAGTGACACCAAGAAGCATATTTTCGATGATTTGTTTAGATGTTTTGAGTGGGCTTGGGAATAGGAAATGGAAAACTCTTTGGCGTTGTGCTTATAACACTATTATTTGAGTGATTTGATTGGAAAAGAATGTAAGGATTTTCAATAATAAATGTGAGGTTAAAGAACTTTGGGAATGGCTTTATTGTTGGCTCTTTTTGGGCCTTCGCGTTTAAAGATTTTAAAGTTATCCTTCTTTTTTGCATCATTTTGAGTTGGACTGCATTTTGTGGAATGCAGTGTTTGCCTATGTTGTTTTTTTTTTTTTGTCTTCATATCTTAGTTTTGGATAACTTACCCAACGTAGTTGCCCCCATCCAAAGTCATTCTAGTCATTCCTTCTAGTTATTCTTTTTTTATACCTTTAGGTCTTTAATTGTAATAGTAATTCTAATAATTCAAATTACTATGTAATGCATGTATAGATTAATAACAAGGTTTAGTAAAAATTAAAATAAGAATTAATTTTCTAACACAATTTATTTATTCAATTCAATTACATATATAATTTATATTTTTTAGAAGTTTAACAAAAAATTATTTATTAAATATGTCTACATACAACGCACGCCGTGTGTTATTATCATAATAATTTTTATAACATCAATTATATCCTTATATTTTCATGTAATTTTTGTTTTTATATGCAATTCGTCTTTCAAGTTCTTTTGAACTCTTTTTATAAGCAGTAAACAAAGACAAATCTATATTATATTGTTATATACATATAGTTTTCAAATTGGATTATAAGATCAAATATATATGATATTTAATTTTTTTTGTCAATAATTAGATTTAACAAGAAATAAAATATAAATTAATTTTTTGACACCAAATTTATCATTTAATTTAATTACATATAATGATGCATAAATTGGTCTCGTGCAAGATCAACAGTCAAGAATATGAATAGAGACAATCAATGATCAATAGACAAACAATTAATGGTAAAGCGATAAATAATGAAGCTAACACAGGGATTTATAGTGGTTCGGTCCGGGTGATCTACTCTACTCTCGGGAACGGCAGTGATGGCCGGAGATCTTTATTGATCAATAGTGTTGCCAGGAGAACACTCCGGGAGAAATACAATGTTTTGGGAGAGAGCAATGCGTGTAGAAAGATGTAGTATGTGTAAAGATCTTCTCGAGGTCTCAAAGTCATAAGGAGATGTCATTTATGTAGAGAGGGCTTACATTATATAAGCTTAGTAAGGTGGTGAGGCGGTGACGTAAGGGAGAGGACTTCTACCATTTTGGCAAGTACAGTTATGGTAGGATTAGATCTCCGAGCGTATCCCGATATTCTCTCCTCGTGCTCCTATTCCGTTGGGGGATGACCCTGATCTTGGGTTTGAACTTGGAGTAGGCTGGACTTGGACTTGCATTAGAGTGAAGAGTGCAAAAGAGGAACAGGAGGGCAGGCCATGAGCGACGTCCACTTGGCGACCATATGGGTGACGCCCCCTTGGGGTACTCTTGGACGTGCGCCTCTTGAACGTTGGCCCTTTGGCTTGGGCTCCACTAGACTCTTTATCGGTTTACGAGCGACTTCTGTGATTTGGACTCCTGAGTTGATCCGACTTCAATTCGACTTTTCTTTAGGCATTCTCGATTTATTTAGATTGGGCTTGACCCAGTTAAATTCGAGCTCATCATTTACCCCCCAAGCCTCTAACTTCTTTGCGAGAGAAAAGGGTTATGGGCATGTGCCTCGTTTTCATCTGGGTGAGTCGGAATATTTCTAGTTTCCCACGGTATCTTTTCATCCTCGGGGACTTAATGAACTATCCGATATCGAATTTTTTTTTTTTTTGACTCCCTTCTTTCTCTTTTTTTTTTCTTTTCTTTCTTGGCTTTTTCCTTGGCGTGGACCTCATTCTCTTTTTCTTTTTTCTCTTTTTTTTTTCTTTCTTTCTTCTTGGTCTTCTGAGCATGGGCTTCCTTCTCCTTTTCTTCTTTTTTTTTTTTCCCATTTCTTCTTGGCTGTTGGACGCCGCCTTTCCCCTCTCTCTCTTTCTCTCTCTCTTTTTTTTCTTTTTTCGTCTTTGGTTGATGGGCGTCGCCCTTCCGCTCTCTCTTTTCTTTTCTTTTTTCCCTTTTCCTTTGGTTGTTTGGGTGCCGCCCTCTCTCTCTCTCTCTCTCTCTCTCTCTCTTTTTTCTTTTTTCTTCTTTGGTTGCTGGGCGTTGCCCTTCCCTTCTCTTTTTTTTTTTTTTTGGGCAACACTTGAGATTGGTAAAGTGCTTTGAGTGACGCCAAGAGGCTGGGCAGTACCTTGGGTGACTCCAAAGGCCTTGGACACTGTGTTTGGGCGATGCCTTAAGTCTCACTATGGACGGCGTCTCCCCTGGTGCTTGGTCACTTACTAACCTTGTCTCTGAATATTAATCTGGGAACTCTCTTTGCTTTTAGGGAGGTGTCTTCTCCTCCTCCCAAGAGGGCGAGGTTTGATGCCCCTAGTACTTTTCGGCCAAGGTCCGATGACTAGGTTGTTTCCTGGGAGCGAGATCTGGTGGTGGCCCCGCTCCTTCCCAGATTGAGGTTTTTGTGTGTATCAGAATTAGCCCTTGTACCGCTACATGAGCTGAGATTCTAGTGCGATTTCTATAGGGATTGTGGCTGCACCCTGCTTCTAATAATGGCTCGGTTGCAGCTGGCCTGGGGCTTCAATAGTGTGCCTAGCAAAGACAATGTTATCTCAACATTTAAAATATCTAACATGAATACCTGGAGAGAGGGATATGCTGTTTACATAAGAGCAAAGTCAGAGCTGTGGACGTCCCGTGAGGGGGCTGCATGAGTTGAGGCCAAGCTATCTATAGTATCGGGATATGGTTGTCGTAGCAGAGGCTTACTAGGTGACTACTTGCGCGAGAGTAGAGTCATAGGCTGAGCTACGAATAGTCTCGAGAGATGGCTGTCGTGGCAGAGACTTGTGCAAGAGAAGTTATAGAGACCGAGCTACGTATAGTCTCAGAAGATGGCTGCCGTGACAGAAACTTGCGCGAGAGCAGAGTCATAGAGGCCGAGCTACGTATAGTCTCAGGAGATGGACTTGCACGAAAGTAGAGTCATAGTTCGAGCATGGAAGGCGCCCAAGGTAGAGAGGGTGAGACCCCTCGTCTGGGTGACATCACGGGGGGCGCCCAAGGTGTAGAGGGTGAGGCACCTGCTACTGGGCGCCTGACGATGACACCATTTGTCTTTTTGTCTTCCCTATTATTAGATCATGCTCTGACTTTTGTAAACTATTTGTAAATTTTAGGAAGACAATTCGGACATAACAATCTTCGCAGAGTTTTATTTTATAAAATAATAAATAACAAAATAAATCAACTTAAACAATAAATGATAGATAAAATCTTCTAGTGTTCGGTGTCCATAGGTGGGCCGAGGCTTTTTTGGTGGAGTTTGAGTCAACTCCACCTAGCCCTTAGACGATCGTCTGGATTTCTCCGAGGGGTTGTTGATGTTCTCTATCATTCTGGTCCTGTCCAGGTTGTGGGACTTGTCCTCTGCCAGCAACATACTGCCTTAAGCAGCCACGTTGTATGAGTTCCTCGATCTGCCTTTTAAGATTGAAGTAATCGCTAGTATCATGGTCGTTGTCTCGATGGAAATGGCAGTACTTGTTCGGACTCCTCCGGTTCGGGGGGGTCTTCATCTTCTCTGGTCAGCGTATTGTAGGATCATCCTATATTTGGAACAGAATATGCTCCATGGAAACATTGAGCGGCGTGAAGGCTTGCTGCTGCTCTCAGAGGTGGGGGACCAAGGCGGTCATTGACGGAGATTCTTTCTGTCCTATTTCTTTTATTCTCTGCTTCCCACCTGTCCTCATGGGTGTCCTTCCTCTTCTCTCCTCCTCGGGAGGAATCACCTCTATGGGCTTTGGTGATGTCCTCGGTGTTCATGAATTTCTATGCCCTAGACAGCAGCTCGATATGCTGGAGGGTGGCTTCTTGAGGACTGAGAACATGAAGCTGGAGGTGCGAAGACCGGCAATAAAGGCAGTCAGAGCCACCTTATCATCTGGCTCCTCCACTTGGAGGATCTCCTCATTGAAGCGGGCAAGGTAGTCTCTGAGGGTTTATCTCTATCCTGCTTAATAGTGAGCAGGTGGGTCACTAGTTTCTAATATCGGCATCCCCCAATGAAGTGGAAGACGAAGGACCTGCTGAGCTTGGCGAAAGAGCAGATGGAGGAGGGCATGAGCTTGGAGAACCACTGGCGAGCAGACCCCTTCAAGGTGGTAGGGAAAGACTCTACACATTATCTCTTCAGGCACATTGTGAAGTTACATGAGGGATTTGTAGGTATTCAAGTGGTCTAGGGGTCCTTGCTGCCATCGAAGATCTCGATGGTGGGCATCTTGAACTTGGAGAGTAAGGGGTAGTTAACGATATCGGCAATGAAAGGGTATTAGTGTGCCTTACCAAGTAGTCCACGGTTTCAAGCGCATGTGCCTTGATGGCGTTGAGGGCATCACCAAGTTGATTTTGTACCTCTCTGATCTTCTTGTGCCACTAGTTAGGGACATCCTCCGTTGCGTGGTGGTATTGGTTTTCATGGTCTCCGTATTGACTTTCTCTATCTTCGTTCTCCTACACAGGTTCATGAGGATGGGGCGCGTATGAATTCCCTGCGTGCTGAGGAGGGACTAGGCGAGGGACACCCTGGCGTGGTCCTGAAGTGTTCTAGTGAGGGGACCCATGGTGTGGGTTGTCTGGCGCCCAGAAAGGATAGGTAGTTGCTCCTCTCCTGGTGGGGGGAGTGGGACTCCTACGAGGGGAGGGACGACGCCTCCTTGGGAGAGTATAAGTTGGATGATCTGCTGGATTTGGTTTACCAACAATTGCATAGTTTGAAAGAGTTGTTGTTGTTACCCGGCGACTAGGCCACCGTAGCAGGCAGTTCCGATGGTGCGAGGGGAGACGGAGCCTCCTCCCGATGAGTCGAGTTGTTATCTCCTGGTTATTGACTCATCGATCTGGTAGTGATTGTCATGAATTGGAAGAGTAGAAAAACTAGTTATTCCCACAGACGCCACCAAACTAATGATACACAAATTGGTTTCGTGCAAGATCAACAGTTAAAAATATAAATAGAGGCAATCAATGATCAATAAACAAACAATTAGTGGTAAAGCGGTAAATAATGGAACTAACACAGGGATTTATAGTTGTTCGGTTCGGGTGACCTACTCCACTCTCGGGAACGGCAGCGGTGGCCGGAGATCTTTATGGATCAATAATGTTGCCAGGAGAACACTCCGGGAGAAATACAATGCTTTGGGAGAGAGAGAGGGAACAATGTCTGTAGGAAGGTGTAGTGTGTGTACGGATCTTCTCAAGGTCTTAAGGTCATAAGGAGATGACCTCTATGTGGAGAGGGCTTACATTATATAAGCTTAATAAGGCTGTAAGACGGTGACGTGAGGGAGATGACTTCTACCATTTTGGCAAGTACAATTATGGTAAGATTAGATCTTTGAGCGTATCCCGATATTCTCTCATTGTGCTCCTATTTCGTCAGAAGATGACCCTGATTTTGGGCTTGAACTTGTATTGGAGTAAAGAGGGCAGAAGAGGAATAGGAGGGCAGGCCATGGGCAACGCCCACTTGGCAACCATATGGGCGACGCCCCCTTGGGGTACTCTTGGACGTGCGCCTCTTGGGCGTTAGCCCTTTGGCTTGGGCTCTAGTGGACTCCTTGTCAATTTACGAGCGGTTCTCGTGATTTGGACTCCTGAGTTGATCTGGTTTCGGTTGGACTTTTCCTTGGACTTGCTTGATTTATTTCAATTGGGTTTGACCCAGTCAAATTCGGATTCATCAACATATATAAATTATATTTTCATAGATTCAACAAAAATAATATTTAAATTATTTACATACAACGCACGTTATACATTGTTAGTAGAAAATAAAATTCTAATTATTTTTTATTTTTTATCAAATATTGACATAATTATTATACAACAAAAAAATATTTTTATCCATTTTTATTGTTATGTTTATTAAGTTAAATTTTAATTTATAAAAAAATTATAAATGAATTAAGTGATAATAAAATTTTAACGTTAAATTCTTTATTCATTAGTTATATAGGTTAATACAAACACGATACGAAAATAAATAAGTCAGGTCTACACGACACGATTAGTTAAGTAAATTTGATTAGTGTAGACTAATGTTCGATCTAAATCTATAATGACGTGACACTGGTACGAGACAATTGCCCCCTATATAGACAGTTGGTTGGATTTATTAGGTGCCTAACGTTAAAAGTATAAAAATATTTTCTTTCGAACTATACACAAAGCCGACCTTAGCTCAGTTGGTAGAGCGGAGGACTGTAGTTGGTATAAGCCCACAGCTAATCCTTAGGTCGCTGGTTCGAATCCGGCAGGTCGGATTTTGGTTTTTCAAGTCCTTTCTTTTTTTCAACTTATTCATTATTTTTGTTTACATTAGTTTTTTTTTTTTTTTTTATGCAGAGTTCTTATTATTTTCTAAGTAGTCATATTCAGTGTCTAAAATCACGATACAACATAAAATTCAAGTATTCAAAAAATTAATCTCACTATAACAAATAATAAATTTTATTTCATTCTCTTTCTTTTATTATATAATTTAAAATTAATTATTATCTATTATTTTAAAAAAAAATATTCAATAAAAGTTTTCTAAAATACATGACCTAAAAATATATTAACACGCATACACTAACATACATGAACATTGTTTGCAATAAAAATTATATTGAGCCAAAAATTATATTGAGCCATAAATTAATTAAAAATTAAAGAATTCAAGTTGAATGAGTAGTGCGGTAAAAATGGGCGGGAAAAATATATAAAGATAAAATTCAAAGTGCAAATTATCTTATTAAGAATTGTTCATTCTCAATTTTTTTTCCCTCTAAGCCACTCTTACCATTTTCGGAGGATTTGACTATGATGTCGAAAAAAGAATTGGTATCGTACATCTAAAATTTATTATTTCAATTGTGTTTTTTTTGTAATTTTTATGAGTCATTTTATAACAAAAAATTTATCCCTTTTTTACCACTTTTCTTAGGTACAAAAAAATTATCATTTTTTTATGTACCACAATAGTGATAAAAATACTTACAAATATGATAAATATTAGTATATTATTGATTTTTTTTCTCTATCATAGACAACTCTATATTCGTATATTATGACATCACTATGTCGTAATCCTAGCATCATTGTGGAGGCTACAATATATTTTATGGTAACATAAAGTTCGTCGGGGGTAATCTCAACCCTACCTTGACGATGAAGTTTTTCTTTTCATTAGGGGTAATTCTAATGTACCCATTTTTTTATTTTTTTTTTGGTACTATACCGAATGTTATAATTTTAAAGATGTAAGTTACAATTGATGAAAGTAAATTTGAGATCGATCATGAAATATTATGATCAATTATGAATACCTCTAATCAGGTATAATTTCACCTTTTAAAAATTATAATTTTACATTTAAAAATTATAACTTTCATGATTGATCATAATATTTTAAAATCGATTATGTATTTTTTAATTGTAATTTTTATTTCAAAAAATTATAACTTAACCTAAAAATATTATAAATTTTAGTACAATACCGTAGTCTTCCTATTTCATTCAGTTTCACGCAATAGTGCAAAGATAAAGTCTATTATTTATAAGTTGGCCTTCATCCATATAGAGTGAGAGTAAAATTGAGTAAAAGCATAGAAGGGATTACATATGTGGATCCAAGGTCGGGTTTTGCGAGTTTAAATCCTAATCTGTCGAGCTTGTTTTTCTAAACGAACTTAAAAAAAAACTTCAAACTCGATTTATTTAAAAAATGAGTCAAGCTCGAGCCGAGCCAAACCATAGCCGAAGTAGCTTGATTATTTTATATATAAACGAACTAAGTTTTCCGAGTTCGAACAGAAGTTTTTAGGTTCATTTTTTTGAACAAGTCTAAAAAATTGTTCAAATTCGATTCATTTAGAACATGAGTCGAACTCGAACTTAGACCTAAATCCGAACCCGAATAACTCGGCTCAATTAACGGCCTTAGTGGAGGGTGCATAACCTTTTCCTAAACCACACTGCTATTGCTTAGATTGGATTTTCCCAAATAGGATTTGAAGCAATGAGGAATCTTATTGAGTGGCATTGTAAAGGCCTCCATTAAAAGAGAGTTTCATGCTTCCTCATTTTTTTTTAAGTTTCTTCAAATGCTAAACAAGAATAACAACCGTTTTGACTGCTTGGAATGATTCTGAAAATGCAAATCCATCCAGAAGAAAGCCATATTTTTCTAATGTGTGGACTGAATAACAGAAATCAAAATTTTTTCTTCTGTGGATTAAGATTATGCCCTGTAAATCAATCTCAGAAAAAAAAAAAACAGAATATGATCCGTAAACACGACAAGCTTTTCCAAAGTGATTCGATTCTTTCCCCATCTCCATTTTCACTTTGACATGTTTAACAAATGAAATTTGGCACGATCTTGATGCATATCAAACATGAATGGGAATCTGATACTACCCAAAAATGACAAAGCTAAGATCTTACTCATAGAATGTATAATGGGCATCTGATTCTTCAAACTTTTCCATGCGATTGAATAAAGATTTTGCGGGTTGAAGTTGGATTGGAATAAAGGATTTTGCGTTTTTCGTAAAGGGATATTCCTGGAAACCAAAGTCAAGTGAATGAACGATCCAGAATCGCCTGCCCACAACATCAATTCAATAATAAACAAGATCAAAGGGAACTTTTTTGAGTAAAAGCTACTGATCTCTACATGGTTTGTTCAATGCATCTGTTGTGTTTGCCAATGGTTTCATGGAAATTTTTTCACAACGCGTAATCAGTTCTTTTTTCCTTTTTATATATATGGCAATTCTTGGCATTTTTACTTGCAGATATAACTGCTACCTGTTGAAATGGAAGGTGGTCTCATATGCAAAGTGTGTAGAAACCAGTCACCAGTGCCAACAAATGCTCAAGCAATTCGGTGCCATGGATGCCAAAGAATTATTCCAACAGGCATCAAACAAGAGATAGATCCGATTGGGACAAACCAACTTTCAGGCCATGAACAAAGCAATGTAACTATCAATGGGAAAGGCTTGGACCTTCCATGTATGTTGAAGCTCAAAAATAAACACCCAAACACTGCTTCTTCTAGTAGTGAGCCACATCCTTCTCTGGATTTCTCACAGCCTCCACCACGAGGGAAGCGTGCTCTTCTTTGTGGAGTGACCTACAAGAACCAGAAGTTCGAGCTTAAGGGAACTATTCACGATGTGACAAAAATCAGAGATCTACTACTTGAAAGATTCAAATTCTCCGAAAACTCCATTTGCATCCTCACAGGTATTACCTATCTATATGATTATAGCAAACGAGATGTTTCCCAGTCTAAGAATAAACATCCCAGAGAATTATGTCAGGTAGAAGGAGAGAAAGCAAGAGATTGAGTTTCCATATTAGGAGCTTAGCGTCAAAATCTCCGAAAATCTATAAAAGCATGTTTGGTAAGTGGGACAAGGGGAGATTTGGAAGATGAGTTGGGGAATAAAAGTCCAAACAATTCAACAAACTCATGTTTGACAACTAAATTTCTAACCTAAGTTATCAAACCTAGCCCCCTTTAGACCCGCAATTTAAACCCAAGTTAATGGGTTTCATAAAACCCGGTGGGAGATGGGTTTCATATGGGGGCTAAAGGGTTGAACATATAAAATAATATTTATACCCCCATATAACTCATATACCCCATATAAATATATTAGTAATTGTTCGTGTCTGAAAGCACTGCGTTACTCATAAAAAATGAACAAAAAATTCTCTAAAGCAACACCACATATATAAATACATTAGGAAAAAAAATACCGTCCGAAGCAAATCAAATTTACAATCTTTAAACAATAAATGAAATCGATAAAATCTTTCTTGTATTCGTCACCATTACCATAATTTAATTCAATAATATAACATAATTATAAACTCAATCCACCCAAATAATAAATATCTCAAACAAAAAACTGTCCACAAATGCAATCATTTATATAATAAAAATAAGTTCACAAATGTAGTCAAAAAAATAAGTTTTGCTATTTGATATTGGTTTTGGTGTTGAAGTGATGATTTGTACGCGGTTATTGGTGTCAAATGTTAAACATGCAAACCTTAAAAAAAACACTGAATTTAGTGAAATTGAGTGTTTTATGCGTGTTTAATAGAAATTTTTAAATTTATGCAAAGTTGAATCGTAAATTAAGAAATGTAATAAAACCAACCTAAATTAAGATATAAACAATAAAGTTGTAACATATAACATTTAACAACAATCAGCTAATGTCAAAAAATGCACAACTAAACCAATACCAACATTAAACATTAAAACCAATAAAATCTTGCCAAAGCATACACCATTAACATTTGGTGCAATCGATTTCATGTATTTTTTTTACATTGGTCTCTTGTTATTTTTTTGTTTGTGGGAAAATGATGATAACGATTAGATTAGTTTTTTTTTTTTTTCTGCAACTCCAATTAGTTTCAATTGTTTTGTTTTTATTGGATACTAGTTATTTTTTTGTTTGATTGGAAGAATTGGTAATCAGCTTGGATTTTATTTATTTTTTATTTTTTTTGGTGTAATTGGTTTCACTTATTTTTTTTAATTGGTGATTAACTTGGGCTTTGTGTTTTTGTTTATTGGGAGAATATTTATATTTTTGTTTGTGTGGAATTGGTGATGGTGATTAGATTGCTTTTGAATTTTTTTGTGCGATTGCAAATGGTTTCAATTGTTTTGTTTTTATTGTTCACTTGCTATTTTTTTATTTTATACTTTTTGTTTGCATTGAAGAATTAGTAATTAGCTTGAATTTTATTATATAGCCAATTGTTTTGTTTTTACTGGTCACTTGCTATTTTTGTATTTTATACTTTTTGTTTGCATTGAAGAATTAGTAATTAGCTTGGATTTTATTACATAGATTTTTTTTTTTTTGGTGTAATTGGTGTGACTGATATCGTTTTTATTGGTGATTACCTTGGGTTTTGTGTTTTAGTTTCTATTGTTTTATTTTTATTGATCACTTTTTATATATATATTTTTTGTTTGCGTGGAAGAATTGGTAATTAGCTTGGATTTTTATTTTTATATTTTTGGTGTAATTGCTATCACTTATTTTTTTTAATTGCTGATTAACTTGGACTTTGTGTTTTTGTTTCGTGGGAGAATATTTATATTTCTGTTGGTGTGGAAGTGGTGATGGTGATTAGATTGATTTTGAATTTTTTTGTGTGATTGCAATTGATTTCAATTGTTTTGTTTTTACTGGTTACATGTTATTTTTTTATTTTATATTTTTTGTTTGCATTGAAGAAATAGTAATTAGCTTGAATTTTATTATATAATTTTTTTGTTTTTTGGGTGTAATTGGTATGACTGATATCGTTTTCATTGGTGATTATCTTGGGCTTTGTGTTTTAGTTTCTATTGTTTTGTTTTGTATAATGAAAAATTCATGTCCAAGCATGCACAACTAAACCAAGACAAAAATTAATTAAAAAGAACAAATATTTAATGATAATCACACAACAAATTTTTAATATGAATTAAAAATAAAAAATTCATTACAACTTACCTGGTGAAGAAGAAAATGCGTATTTTGGAAATGTGTAACTTTGTGAGGAAATAGTAATTAAATTGATAAAAATAATTAGTCAAAATATCACATACACCATAATTGAAATAAATTTAATTACAATAGAGAGTAAGTAAGCAAGAAAGAGATTGCTTATAATTATCAAAAATTTAGAGAGAGAAGAAACCCAAAACCAAAAGACACATAACACAAAAAAAAAAAAGAAAATTTAGACAGACATGAACACACACAAAAAAAAAAAAACCCAAAACACACAAAGGCACACACACAATACTATATTGCATCACTGTTCAGGCAGACCTAAACTAACTGGACTTATCATCTTGCACGTAATAGTAATTGTTTAGAGTATAATTACTGTGTTACATAGTAGTCATAAATGCATCTATTGTTTCCTTTTCTCCTTGACCTATATCTGTCTTATGTTGTTTTGTTGTAAAATAAATGTTTCAAACCGCTCTGTCATATGCACTCTCATAATTCCAAAATGCCATTTTTCTTCCTTGGACGCAACTCCTCCATCGGTAAGTAAAGAGAATGGAATGCATTCAATCCAACAATGATTAGGCTTCATTGGACCCACTTAAAACTCGACGCCACACACAGTAAAGTAAGCCAATGAGAGAAGAATTGGATGTGGGCCTAGCCAGTTTTCATAAAAAGCTATAATTTGCATTCGTAATCAGTTTTATTGTCTCTGTTTTTGGTCTACTTATTTACCCTCATACAGTGTTCTATAACAATAAAAGATAGTGAATGAATTTCCTCGCAGGGTTTTAATAATCGAAATGGGAGAGTAGTCCACCAAGAGGCAGTTCTGGTCAGTTCTAGCTTGAGTGAGAAGGCAAAGAAGCTATTCCAAAACCAAATCAGAAATACTTAATAAAAATAACAGAGCGTATTGTACAGACCTGAGTTGCTGTTAGATATAGGGAAACTGCTACATGTTACACTTCCATCAATTATTTGGACAAAAGTTCGATAATACATCTAAGCCTAGAGAGAGTAAAAAGAAACTGAACACAAAGTTCGATTAAGTAGAAAAAAAAGCAATTACACAGACAAAGATTACGATCTCACAAAACCACAGTTCACAGGAGGCAGAAAATGAACATACAAGCACACACACAGATGAACACACAGGCGTACACACACACACACACAAAAAAAACCCAGAACATAAAGAAAGAGAGAGTGAGATAGAGAGAGAGGGAGAGAATTGAAGAAACCCATAACACAAAGACACAAAAAACCTAGAATACCTGGACACCTGGTGTTGTGTTACAGTGTGTGTTACTCTGGTGTGGTATGTGCTGCAGTGTGTGGTGTGTGTTGCAGGGGCAAGGTAGAGACAGAGAAAAAGGGGGGAGAGAGAGGGATATCGTGAGATAGACTTGCTGGAGGTCTGTCAGGTGAGTTAGAAATTGAGATAGGATTAGATAGGTTATTTGTTTTAAAAATGAGAGAGTCAGAGGATGAGTCTCGATAGATAGGATTAGGTAGGTTATTTGTTTTTAAAAATGGGAGAGAGTTAGAGGAGTCGTCTCGGTAGATAGGATTTTTTTTAAAAATGGGTGAGGCAGGGAGTAACAGAGAGAATTATAGTATGTGATAGGGAGATAGAGTTAGATGAGATATAGGAGTCTTTTGTATAGTTAGTATGAGATAAGGGAAGAGAGTTAGATGAGAGATAGGAGTGTTAGGAAAATCTATGATGAGGACCGTTAGATTAAGAATCGTCAAGTAATTTGAGCTGCGAAAAGTTCAAGATAAACATTCCTAGCTACTTTATTATATAAATTAGCTACTTTATTATATAGATGGTTAAGAGATACAATAGTCATTTATATACTGTTGAAAAAATTTGATGCAAATAAAGTGAACGATATGGTAAAGTGCAAATTAAGTCGCTCTATTAAGACGATTCGCGCCCCTTTATGAAAGAATCATAGCGCAGAAGGTAGTAGTGCGTCGTCCCTATGATACAACAGCCCAGGCAATTGATTGTTGCTTTACTCAGATCTGCACAATCGAATGAAACAGAAGCTTCACACACACCTTTGCATATTGCCTAGAAACTTATCTTTTAAGAAGAAAGTTAATATGATATATATTATCTCCTCCGGTAGTCCCACACCTGCGTACGTAAGAATCCCAAGACCTATCTTTAATTCAAAGGTTAGATAACATTAGTACATATATATACTCAAGTATCTTGGGATGTTTTAGTTAAAATATTCTAACATGCAAATATATTATTATAATAGTCATATATTCGTGCGCATACCAAACATGGGTATGGACGGAATTGAATGTTGAATCTCATCTTTGTAAAGAGAGGTTTGAATTTGAAAAAGTTTGGACAAGCCAATCCAAACCCCTCCCAAAAAACTAATCAAACAGCCCCTAAAAGGTACATGCCAAGTTTTTCCAATGGTATAAATGAAAAACATCTCCAAATAAGTTTTCCTGGTAAATAAACATTACCAGTGGTGTTGATTTGGGACATTCTTTTTTCGCCAAAAGGCCTGTTTTGAGGTGTTCACATTATGCAATTTCAGGAAAGCATTACTTAACACTAGAATAATTTTTCAGTTTTGTATGTAGCATCCATCTGTTGTTTTATACGATCGAATCAAATTGCAGAGGAGACAACTCAACACCCAACGAAGAAGAACATCCTAGAAGCCTTGAAATGGCTGGTGAGGGACAACCAAGCAGGGGACTCATTGGTGTTCTATTTCTCAGGACATGGATTGCGACAACCTGATTTTAAGGATGATGAGCTTGATGGGTTTGACGAAACAATCTGTCCTGTTGATTTTTTGAAAGAAGGAATGATACTTGATAATGAAATCAATGAACTAATTATTAGACCACTCAAGCCAGATGCCAAACTTCATGCCATCATTGATGCCTGTCATAGTGGAACCGTACTTGATTTACCCTTTGTGTATAACAAGGAAAGGTAAGCTCATCTCTCTAGTTTGAACCTAGTCCTAGTTCAGATGGGAATTTGACATTCTATATTGAAATTGGAAAAGTCCATGCAATGTGACAAGAGCCAACCTGAAATAGACACCATTTTTCAGTACCCTTCAATGGTACAATTCAGATAATAACCAAGGATTCGTTTCACAGCTATAGAAAATATAACTGATACTTGTTCAAATCTAAGGCATAATGCACTGGGCTAAATTTGATCCCCTGAAATTCCCAATAACCACATTACATTGACAGTATTAAATATTACACTTTCATTTCACTTGTCTGAATTTCAACAGGAAAGGATGGGATGATAATAGCCCTCCATCTGGTGTCTTTAAAGGTACCAGTGGTGGCCTAGCTATCTCTTTCAGTGCTTGTCTGGATGATCAACTTGCTGCAGATACCGATGTGAGTAGATAATTTTTCGTTTTGGTATCTTGAAGTTTATCAGCCAACACTTTCTTTTAATCTTTAATGATATATATAACACGGATCATCATTCCTATTAGAAATGTTTCTACCCACTTTCACTTTCACCTTTTCTTTTTCTTATTTGTGTTTTGTAAATTTCCTTGCTTACTCGGTGTTCAACTTACACAGGCTTTCTCAGAAAAGCGTCTAGCAGCATCCGGAAGGAAAATGGCCGGTGCTATGACATACACTTTTGTTCAAGCAGTTAAGCAGAACCCAACAATAACATATGGTGAACTGATCAATTCTATGTACAAGAACATTGAAGAAGCTCATCGCAAATGTCTTCATTCTCATTTCCTGAGTAGACTGTTTCATCGGAACATATTACAGGTCAGTTTTTCTCTTTCAGTTACATGATTTTCTTTTTGGCATGGCAAGAAATTGCATTTATTATTTCTATTCATGTGGAGAAAATGTCATGTTGGTGTACATGATTTATTGGGGAAAGGGGAGGTGACACTCAACTTGTGTCCCCATAGCCAGGAACGATGTCCCATGCTGCAGGCCTTCCCTTGTCTCCAAAATTGTCTTGGTAATTAGACTTAGTTAAATTTGGATTTAGACTCTTTATTTTTTGTTCGAGTATTTTACCAATAAGTAATAACAGAGAAGATGAGCCAATATAAACCCAGGGGCCCCAATTTGTACCACAAAATAAGAGTTTAGTCTTCTAGAGAGATCTGCAGCAATTCCCCTTAGTCATTACAAATCACAGCTCCAACCCCTGTAGCCTGTGGTGTCTTGAAAACCACATCAACATAGATCTTTAGTATACCAGCTGGAGAAAGGATCCATTAAAAGTAGGTATGTGAGCTTTCTGATCAGAAGTTGGTTACAGTATGATGCTGTTCATAATAGTATGCTACACTCTTGGAACAAAGTTCGGTTGGATATTCTTCTAGTACCCAATGCATTACACTTAATATGAGGCAATGGTCGATTGTTGATTCTATGATTTTATTGAGGGCTAGTTGTTGTCAGTATTCAGATTGTCGATTTTTTCATTTCTAGAACTAATGTGATGGATATGCTCTCTTTACATGTAGAGACACGAATCTAACACCACTTTCACATTTAAGAGAACTTTTAGTAATTTTCGCAATTGTCATTTCTTTTGTTGTAACAAGGTCCAAAGTGTATAGCATATTTTGAATCATTTCATTTTTTGAGATGACTCAAATTGGCTGTTGCATTGAGGGTTGCAGGAACCTCAGCTATCATCTTCTGCAAAGTTTGACGTTAACACAGAGTTTACAATGTAATCCTTCGTATTGGAAAGATCTCTTTAATCCATGAGGGTTATATGCATTCATAAGCGAAAAAGGTACTATTGGCTTTCTGTTTTCAAGCATTCTTCGCAATAATCTAGCTGTATCTTTTGGAAGCAAAAGCAACACATGAGTCTGAAGATTTCCAACAACTACTGAATGTGGTATTGCCATTATGCATAGCTATATAACAACTCCTTCGAGTTCAAAAGAGTTTGAGAATGTGCCTTCCTTCTTCCTTAATCTTGATTGGAAGGCAGCAATGTGTGAGATGAATACACTCATAGCTCTTGGTTGATGTAATTTGTTTCCATATTTTTTATCAGTTTTTGTCTTCCTTCCTTTTTATTGTATCAGCTCCATCATTGCGTGGATTTCTCGTCTACTAAGCTGTGCTTTTTACTTTAGTTAATGAAATATTTTCTGTTCCCTATTAAAAAAATAACTGTATAACAAACTTCTGTAAATGGAAGACATAAATTTTGAAGGCAAAAATATCTAATAAATAAATTATATAACTGATGGAAACCGGATGGCTATTGGATTGGTTCCAAATTATGTGTGTACCTCAGAAAATTCCCTTGCTAGCACAATTTGTGCTATACAGACTTGTTTTACTCAGGTATTGTGGCAGCATGAACTGTCTGATTATTAATACTCTAGAATTGTTTTAGCAAATTTATTTTATGCAGATATACATATAGTACATTTGTTTGGAAAAATAGATTGGGAAAATCTTGTTGAATTTATCAAATATGCGGCATTTAGCGCTCTTTTAGTTCAATTCAGAGCTTATCCAACTTGTGCAATTATCCAGTATTAATCAGCAGCAATGGCTCTGATTGAAGAATCTGGGGAGTGTTGGAAGCACACAACCTTACTCTCGAGTATGGAGATATTGTTTTCACAACTCAAATCTAGGAATGACCCCCTTAAACAAAAAATGGCTAAATTAAAATTGGAGTTGCTGGGAATAATTCTCATGGAGCCAAGCTCCAAATGACACACCCAACTCTTGAACTTCAATGGTGTAAATACAGATATAGCCTTAGCCTCAATCAGCATGCAGAGGAGCATTATAAGGTACACCCTTATATTAAAAACTTAGACATGCCAATATTTAACAAAATTCTGATAAGACCATCCTTTCAATGTGCACAAAAGTGGTTCGAGTTCATCAAGCAAATAGCTCGTACCCAGTACATAAGACTTCATAGTCGTCAGATCGAGAGAAGTAACTAATAGACAACCTTCCTTCAGTTAGAGAGGTCAAATTGAACATTGATATATCGTTTAGGCGGATGAATACTGCTCCAGGTTCGACCTCTGGTTTGAATTCCTAAACCACCAAAACAAGAAAAAATGAGTTCCTCACCCGACAGCCACACCCATTCCCCTGCTTTTTCTCAAATTGTATCATGTGCAAGTTATCATCAATTTCGTTAGCATATGCGACTGCTCAAGAAAGTAATATCATTAGAGTTAACTAAAAGAGAACAATACCACAAGTGACTTCTTCATATTCTTCTTTTAGAGAGCATTTTTTCTGCTTGACCACTTTCAATCCTAAACAAAGCCAATAAAACTGTGGGCATTGGCTGCTGGAATTTCACGCCAATCATGGCATATATACTTCATATATATACGATTCTATATGTTTTAAGAGGAACAAGTCACTACTCACCATCCATGTAAAAAAACCGATATTACCCTTCCCAAATCCCGTAGTGACAACAGGAGTTTCATGGCCCTTTTTTCAGTTTCTGATAACTTTGAGCGAGGCCAACAACCAGCTGTTCATGAACAGCTCGATTCATTCTATTGCCCCACACTATGAAAAGAATTGATCAGTCAAAGTGGCTCTATCCACTTGATAGAAAAGATTGAATCTGATCCTTTACACACTCCCTCAGGTGATGGAATAAAGCTGATCAGCTTTTCCAAGGAATAAATTCTGCTCACTGCTTTCCGGACTCTGCTTTTAAATACCCTTGTATTGGCCATTCCAACATAACATAGCACAGGAGAAATGGCTACTAGACAAGAGAGATGCAATGTGTGTGGTATTCAGGTATGGGTGCCACTTCAGGCACAAACCTTCGTCTGTCCCCGATGTCGTTATATCACAAGACGAATTGTGCAACCAAGGCCACACCCAATGCGTAACTACTATCCCAATTCGGGAATGCCTGGAAATGGTAACTATCCTAGGCCATCGTCGATGCCACATCTTGTGGTGCCTGGGAGGAAGAGGGCAGTGCTCTGTGGCGTGAGCTACTATGGCCACCCAAAGAGTCTCAAGGGTAGCATAAACGATGTGAGGAAGATGCATGATTTTCTGATTAATACGCTAGGCTTTCCTAGTTCATCCGTCCTTCTCCTCACAGGTATCACTTGGTTTCTCCCACCCCCACACAAGCATTTGCACAAACACCTTAAACGCAAATTGACACCCAAATTTAAACAAGGAATTAATCAAATACTAATATGATTTTGTGCAAGGATGTCAATCGAGTCGTGTTGTATCTAGGCCTGACAATCATGTCGAGTGGAACAGTTTCGTGTTGGGTGAAACGGGTTTATGTCAAAAAATCCTCTTTCTACCCTCCATTTGTTTATATAAACGAGTCCAACTATCACATCTATAGTTACCTGATACAACCCGTGTGTTACCCGTTAAATAAGAGAATAAGTTAGAGTATTTTGAATCCACACAAAAAATATCAACTCACCACATATTACACATGTTTGACCTGTTTACTATAACAATAAATTATGGCTGAGCAAAAAAATAAAGACAAAAAATAAATATTAAATGACTACTAAATTTGAATGAGTACGAGAGATAGGAGGTATGAGATGAGACAGAGGCTGAGAGATATACCTTTTTTTAAAAAAAATTTATAGTACTATTGTTAACGGGTTAAACGGGTTGAAATGAGTTTATGGGTTAAACACGAAATTGATTCATTTATTTTATGGGTCTACCAAGTTAACCCGTTAACCATCCGAACCGAACCCGTTAAGACTACATTCAAACCCACTAAATCTGTGTTGGGTTCGTGTCGATTTCACAAGTCGTGTTTAAAATTTTCAAACCTATTGTATCATATATATACAAATCATTTTACATTCCGCTCGTGTTATTTTGAGTTGATGTCATCACATCTTCCTAGCTTTGTCCTTCCCATTTAATAATAATAAGGTAAGTCCAAAACAAGGTTAGAGGTGTCCAGACAAAAATTATTCCTAATCAAATGGGGTTATTGTCACGCCACAAATATCCATTCTCACTCATTTAATTTTTTATTATTGAACTATTAAGTCTATCCCTTCTATACTCATCTCATGTTATATACACCCCTCTAATAAGTAAGTTCACCTTATATTTTCTCATAATTAGGGTTTCATTCATTATTTGATCTTATACACTCACAAAACACAATTTCAATATGTATGTCTTTAATGAGATACAAGTTAATATTATTTTTCGATATAATTCTATGTTTAATTTTATGTGTGCTATGTGGATTTTCATTATTTTTGTTTTGTTTTAGTATCTTTGTTAAGTTTTATAATTTTTAATTTATAGAGTTTAAGTGTATGTGTTTGTGAGATTGTTTAAAAAGTAGAAATAAAGGTTATTTCAATAAAAAAAATTATTTTGTTTAGTAAGATTGTGTCGGTTGTGAATTAGAAAGATTATTTTTTTTTTAATTTTTTCAGCGACAAATTTCTTCCTTTGTTTTCTTGATTTCGTCCTTTCTTGATTTTTCTTTCTTATTTTTTTTTGGGTTTTGATAGATTTTTCTTTCTTGTTTTCTTTTCTTACTTATTAAAAAGGTGTCTATAGCATAGGGTGAACTTAATTTCCAGAATAGAAGGAGTAGATTTAGTAGTTTGATAATTGTTGGAGTATATTCTAGTTTATTAGGGTTTCTTTTCCCTTTTTTTACCCTTATTATGACTTTTATATTTTGCCTAGACCACAAGCATGTTTAGGTCACTTTGTACTATTATTTGGCTATATATACGGGGTTCTACTCTTAATTTGAGCATCATTTTCACTAACAGATATCTCTAGTTGGTATTAGAGCCATACCTTATCCCTAACCTTCTCCCTTATCCTCACTAGTGAACATCAACAGCCCTCATCACCAATCACCAACAAAACCACCTCAGTCACCAGCGACAGCCACCAACCCAGCCAACCAACCCAGCGACCTTGGGAAAACCAGATCCCAGCAAACCAAAACCAGAATCCAGTGAAACCCACTGTCTGCATATTGCCAGCAAAACCAGCTTCCAAGCTCCGACAACAACACTCCATTGACCAAATAAGCCACTCTTCCTAGCATATAACCAAAACAAGCCAACTTGATAGCCAAATCAGCAACCCAAAACAACCCAGCAAAACAGCTCAAAACAGCAACCCAAAACAGCCCAGCAAAACAACAACCCAGGAGCCCAAAACAACAACCTAACAACTCAAAACAGCAACTCACCTAGCTTGCACCCAGGCAGTCCCAACGTCAGTGTCAGTCTGTTACACCTTCATACTTCACGCTCTTCGTCGTAGTGTTGTCATCTCTTCGTGCCACTGCCTTCTTTTTCTTAGGGTTGTAGCATCTAGGACTTTTTAAAAGGAGTTGAATCCTCTTTTTCATTGATCTGCTCTAGATGTAGTGGATCACTTATTTATCTTTATTAAATTTCTAGACACCGTGACCTGATTATTTGGGAGCTTTTTGGACCTTCTTTATTTGTCACTAATGTTCGACTAGAGGTATATTATTCTCCCTTATTTTGTCCCTCTATTTATCTTAGAATTTTTTCTATCACGAGTGCTCACGTATTGTTATTGCTATGACTACTACTAAGGGATTTGAGACTTCTACTATTGAGACATCTACTGTTAGTACTTTCACTTGGAATGTACCGCCTAGTTCTCTACTTTTATATTTGACCAGTATATAGTACCTACCGGCATAGTTACATTACCAACAATGCTGGGTATGATCTCTCAGAAAGTTACAACACAGTTGTTGAATGACCGTAACTTTGCTGAGTGGTTACACTCATTCCAGCTTTTTCTAGGTCATATAAGGAAACTTGGTTGGCTAACGGGATCTCACTCAAAACCAACTGATGACGATCCTGAATATTCTGCATGATTTTCTGAGAATTTCGCTATTCTTGGATGGTTATTTGGCTCGATGGAACCATCTGTTTACAAAATTCACCAGTTTTTAGCTCTGTTTCGAAGCTATAGAATGAATTATCAAAGATGTATTCCCAGTCAAGACGTGGAGTTTATGTTTATGAGCTTTCTTAGGAGCTCTCATATGCTCAGCGGAGAGATATGATAATTCAAGATTATTATAGCTATTTGATCCAGCGCTGGCTTGAGTATGAGACTCTCCGTCCTCTTGCTGCTATTTTGAGGATCGAGCTCGAGGGAGTGGCATTCCTGCATACTCGAGAGTAGGAGGATACGATTCACAAATTCCTTATGAGGCTTCGTGATGAGTTTGAGGGTCTTTGTTTGCAGATCTTGTTGATGCTGAGGCTTCCGTCTTTTTATGAAGTATATGCGATGATTGAGCAGCATAAGCATCATGTATGTATTGCATCACTTTCATTTGTGACCTTGACTCCTTAGGCTGACTAGATGGCCCTTGTAGTTATTATAGGGTCTCATTCATGATCCTCAGCCAAAGGTGGACAACGACCAGACCAGTGCTAATAGGGCACCCCAAATCAGCGCAGACAGGGGAATTTTCGTCAATGTGATTATTATGGCCGATCAGAACATCTCAGGATTACTTGTTGGAAGCTCCATCCAGAGCTTAAGCTTCCTTCTCGCAGTCGTATTGCTGCTATATTGAGTTACCACCACCTACTACCGCTCCTCCTCCTTGACAGAGTGATATGAATGCTATTACTTCCCAATTGGATATACTTATGTCCGTTCTGACTTCTCAGAATCCAACTACTGCTACCACCACTACAAGTATATCTCATGCCTTTCATACTTGCGCTAGTCCATCTCCATTTTGGATGCTGGACTCAGGTGCAAGTCGTTACATGACAAGTGAGGCCCATCCCTTCACCACTTTTGATGAATAGATACATACACAGGTTCAGCTAGCAAATGGGAGACGTGCCCCTATTGTTAGTAAGGGTACAATCCACCTCCCAAATGACTTTACATTACGTTTAATTTTTCATGTGTCAAAGTTGGTCATGAATTTATTATCGGTACATCAGTTAGCTAGAGGTTTTTATTGTACGGTTGTGTTCTTATCTGATTCGTGTTATTTGCAGGACTTAAGTACCAGGAGGATTATTATTAGGGGACATGAGAGAGATGGACTGTATTATGTAGGCGATCTACCTTTAGTTTCATCAGTTCCTCCACCTACATCACCTACACCTGTTTTGTCTTTATTTGTTCCTAGCTTGCATGCTAGCATTTTACCTAGTAGTTGTCGTTATAATTTTTTCATCACAAACTGTTTAGTTGTGGCATGATCGTTTTTGGCATACAAATTTTAAATATTTATGTATGTTGTTTCCTATTTTGAGCAATGCTTGTGTTAGTGGTAAACTTGACTATGTTATATGTTCCCTGTCGAAATATGTTAGGACCAGTTATATTCCTCGCATAGACCAGTCACCCAAGCCATTTGACTTGATACACTCTAATATTTGGGGACCCTCTCCTGTTACTACTCTATTAAGTGTCTGATAATATGTAACATTTATAGATGACCATACCCGTTGTACTTGGGTCTACCTTTTGCATAGAAAGTCCGATGTACTTCCTATAATCACTTAGTTTTTCTAGATGATTAAGACACAATTTGATGTCATTGTTCGTAATTTTTGTTTAAATAATACCAAAAAATATGTTTCTGATGCCTTAGTATCTCACCTTTCTTCTTAAGATATTCTTCAACAACTCACTTGTCCATATACTCCTGACCAAAATAGAGTTGTTGAAAGGAAAAAAAGGAGTTTATAGGGATGGTACGTTGTATGCTTAGAGGCATTGGGGTACCAAAATCTTATTGATATTTTGTTGTTTTGACTCCTACCTTTATGTGCAATCGTACATCGAGTCGTGTTCTTCAGCATAGGGCTCCTTTATAGGTCTTATTCCCTGAGCAGACACTTTTTTCAGTCCTCCCTCGTGTTTTTTGGATGCATATGTTTTGTTTAGGATTGGTCTCCTACTCGCCATAAGGTTGATGATAAAGCGATTCATTGTGTCTTTGTAGGCTATTGTAATCAGTCTAAGGGGTATCAGTGTTATGATCTTATTAAGCGTTATATGTATCACAGTGTAGATGTTACTTTTCTTGAGCATATTCCTTATTTTTCTTTCAGTCCTGTGTCTACCCCTCCAGTTGATAATGCTCACTTTGATTTTTCGTTAGCACAGAAGTCAGAGTCATTAGTCACTATCACTACAGAGTCATCAGTTTCTCCTCTTCCAGAGCCATTCATCCTTGTCAGTATAGAGTCATAAGTCTCTCTTCTTTTGTAGGTTTAAGTTCATCGTCCTCGCCCTCATCCTCCTACTGATCTCCCCTCTACCTCAAGTGATGTAGGTAATATTTCTTAGTTCGTTGAGTATATTGATGCACCTGTTGTTAGTACTGATGAAATTACAGGTACTGAGCTAATTACTTTACCTGATGAGACATTGTCAGCGGAGGATGATAATTTAGGGCGTCGTTATCTGTGACGTGCTTGTCATCTAGTTGTTCGTTATAATTGGATTGCCAAGATTTTATATCCGATATCTACTTATGTTTCTTATAGTGATCTATCTCATACATTTCGAGCTTATAATATGGTCTTATCAGATACGTCGATTTCTCACTCTGTTTCAGAGGCTATGCGGGAGCCCTAGTGGGTTCTTGTCCTGCAGACGGAGATGGCTGCACAACGTAATCATACATGAGATTTTGTCTCTTTACCTTTAGGGGTGAAGTTTGATGGTTGTTGCTGGGTTTACACCTTGAAGTTTCTTACGGATGGTACTATTGATCATCACAAGGCTAGACTTATGGCGAAGGGCTTTACTCAAGTATTAGGTCGTGACTTTGGTGCTACCTTTGCCCTTGTGATAAAATTGACTATTGTTTGGTTGATTATTTCTCTAGCTGCGGAGTACTCTTGGCCTCTTCATCAGTTAGATGTGAAGAATACGTTTCTTCGTGGTGATCTGGACGAGATTATTTATATGGATGCACCATCGGGCTTTTGTGGTGAGAGAGAGTATGCTGAAAATGTATGTCAACTGTGTAAGTCTTTTTATGGACTGAAACAGTCACCATGAGCCTGATTCCCTCGCTTTAGTGGTGTGGTTGTACATTTAGGGTTCACCAGATGTCATTTTGATCATACTTGTTTCATTCGACTGAATACTTCTGGGCAGTGTGTTATCCTTTTAGTATATGTTGATGATATTATTATTACTACAAATGATGTTGCTAGGACTGCGCAGGTCAGGGTAGACCTTTGGATGACCTTCGATATGAAAGACATTGGATTTCTGCGATACTTTTTTAGGATTGAGGTTGCTCGTAGGAGCAAGGGTATTGTTCTTTCTCAAAGAAAGTATGTTCTGGATCTTCTCTCAGACACTAGGATGTTGGGTGCAAATCGACATCATCATCCATGATTTCAAACCTGAAGCTTACTGCTGAAGGTGAGAAGTTAAGAGATTCGACTATCTATCAGATTGGTATTTAGACTTATCTACCTAGCCAACACTAGGTCAGACATTTCATTAACTGTCAACCAAGTTAGTCAGTTCATGTATAGGCCGTGTCAACCTCATCTTGATGCAATTTATTATATTTTTTGGTCCCTCAAGTCTTGTCCTGGATTTGGGTTGTTCTATGCATCAAAATCTCAGACTAATTCTCTAGCCTATTATTCATATTCAAATTCAGATTATCAGAGAACGTGCGACGGTTGATCTACTATTGGCTTTTGTGATTTGCAAAGGACTCATCTTATCTCTTAGAACAGTAAAAAACAGTCAGTTGTCTATCGCTCGTCAATAGAGGCAGAGTATCGGGCACTATCACTTGGCACATATGAGATTATCTGACTATGATCGATTCTTGACGAGTTGGAATTTCCAGTGACTTCTTCATCTACATTATATTGTAATAATTGATCTATTATTCAACTCGCTTCTGATTATGTACTAAACGAAAGGATGAAGTATATAGAGATCGATGTTCACTTTCTTCGGGAGAAGGTTAGCTGTAATATTATCACTACATTATTTGTGGGGACCAGTAATCAGGTTGCGGATGTTTTCACCAAACTTGTCACTATATCCATTCTTCGGGACTCTGTTGTCAAGCTTGGCTTAGTTGATATTTTTGCGCTTAATTTAAGAGGGAGTGTTGGAGTATAGTCTAGTTTATTAGGGTTTCTTCTAGGTTATTAGAGTTTCTTTTATCTTTTTTACCCTTATTATAACTTTTATATTTTGCCTAAACTACAAGGATTTTAGGTCACTTTGTACTATTATTTGACTATTTATACAAAGTTCTACTTTTAATTTGAGCATCCTTTTACTAACAGATATCTCTAGTATAATAAAAAATTAAATAAGGTGATAATAAATATTTTTGGGGTAGGAATAGCCTCACCACTCAACAATTGCAAGGGTATGAACCCCTTCTTTCTCAACCAAATCGGTCACACATACATACATCATAATTAAAAGTCTACATCAACCCAAGGTAGGTCTAGTGATAACAAAGACGAATAATAAATTTAGACGTCGTAAGTTTGAATATTAGCAACCCCTTGGGGCTATCATACCTTCATCCCGAAGTGAATAACAAGTTTTTGATTGGATCAAGGATGAGATTAAATGAGATACTCGTAAGTTAGTCCAAACACCCGTTAAACTTAAAAAAAAATCTACTAAACTCATTTCGTAATAAACCCAAGTGAAAATTCATTTAAATATACAATATTAGATCAAGAACAAAAAAAGTTTTTGACATTTTTTTCTTCCAATCACACTTTCTACATACTACAGTCAAAGTTGAACTATTCATATTGACACTGCCTGACCCATTTGATATTCACTTAACTAATCGTATAGTTTTCAATTTCGTGTTTTGTTAATTTGCCATCCTTTAAGAACCAATTTAAAAACCTGGTACCCTAAACTATTTAAATGCTGCATGTATCAATTTCTCTACTGGTGAGTGGTAACAACTATGACCAATCTGCAGAAGAGGAGAGGGACTCATCCCGGATCCCAACTAGATACAACATGACAATGGCACTGCACTGGCTCGTTGGAGGGTGCCAATCCGGAGATTCTTTGGTGTTTCACTACTCCGGTCACGGCTCTCAAGTCCCCGACACAAACGGAGATGAGATCGACGGGTATGATGAAGCATTGTGCCCCGTCGACTACCAAACCAAAGGAAAGATACTGGATGATGAGATCAATGCCATCATTGTAAGGCCACTGCCCCCTGGAGCCAGGCTTCACGCCATCATCGACACTTGCAACAGTGGAACTGTTTTGGATCTCGCCTACATGTGCAGGATCAGCCCGTTAGTCATTTTACCATGTCTGTGCTTTTAAATCGTATAAATCGTGCTAGCATCACATAATGTCATCGTTCTAATTGTGTTTAGTTTAGTTTATATTGTGCTTAACTGAGTTTGTAATAACTCGTTTATCTGACGCGTTTGGCTAGTTTTTGTGTTGAGTTCCAGGTTTTTGCTGTCCTGGCAATACTTTCACACAATGTCATTGTTTTTGAGCAGGGAAGGATTATATGGGTGGGAAGATCAATGGATTCCACAAGGTGGATACAAAGGTACAAGTGGGGGAATAGCAATCTCTTTGACTGCTTGTGATGATAATCAGAACTCGGGAGATACTACGGTTAGTGATTTTGTGTCTCTATTGCTCACACAGTGTCTGAATCTGAATTCGAATCCAAATTCAACGTAGAAAACTCTCATCCAAATGTCCAACAACTTTCATTTTCATCGTTCTCTTTGAATTTGTTTAAAAACCCAAAACCCAAATCTGAATATCCCAACTTAAATTCTTGAGCCATACAACTCAAAATAAATTCGGATTCAATTTAAGTCAAACCCAAATTCTAATAGCATGTGGGATTCTCACTTAAGTATACAATTTTTTTGTCCAAGTCCATACCGATGGCTAGAAATTTTTAAGTACACATATTTTTGGGATGGTCTCAAGTTGAACTTTGATAACCAATTCAATATGTACCCGTATCGAACACAGGCAATATGATCGAGTCATATCATCCAAAGTAATGTAGTATTATATAACCACTATTCAGAAGCGGGTCTCTCTAATTTAAACGTAAAATTGACTACCGCTTTATTTTTCATGTACATTGCTTATACTTTAGCTACTAAATTATAAGTCGCTTTACATGTGCAGGCTTTCAATGGCAATGCAAGTGGTGCCTTGACTTATACCTTCATCAATATCCTGCAAAACGAACCTAGACCGACATACGAACGTTTACTAAGTTCCATGCGCTATGAAGTAAGGGAGGCTCAAAACAGAGCTCCATCTTCTTTACCACATTCACCACAGGTATGCTTCCATATGGTCAAATAAAAAAAAAAAACTCGTATCAATTCGAAAAGTTGAGATTGCTCTCAGACTTTTGGATCGATTCTAAATCGATCTCATCACGTCGTGATTTAACCAACTTAAGTCATAACTGGATTTTATTGTATGGTAATATTGACATGATACTGAAAAAGAAAATTTAGTACCTTGGAAAATATATTAGAGAATAAGCCCGTAAGTCTTGACACAATGTTAGAATTCTAGTTCTTTTAGAATGGTATTCTACTGATGGCTCGGGCCCTCTTGGAAGGAGGCCTACTTTGCCTTCCATTCAAGCTATGCAGGAAATGCCCTAACACCAAAGTGTTAGTAAAATAAAAAGGAAAAACACCACACACACATGTATACCACCCACAACAAACATAGTTTTAATAAGTGAGTCGGATTCCGGAATACAAATTACCCAAAAAAAAAAAAATTACAACATTTCTCCACTCCATCAATCAAGACTTTAATTTAACAATCAAAATATATCAAATCCTAGCAAATTGAAACAGAATACAAGACACCCACAATTAACATTAAATATACAACGACTCAAGGATCAAAATGGTCATTTATCATGATATGCATGATCTAATTCAACAAACTTAATCATCTTTCATCATTTGAGCAGTTCTTTTTTTTTTTGGTGAGAGTGTCTAAGCCAATTTGTCTTTAAGTTGATGCTCTACTTGTTTTTTCGTAGGTACCTCAACTGTCATCTTCTCAAAAGTTTGACATTCATAAAACACCATTTACTTTATAGAACCATGAATACTGGCAAGTTTCAGTCAATGTTATTAGCCACAAAAAGAAATGTCTGAAGCTCTATCTTGCTGTTAGTTTCAACAAAACAATATTATGTATCCACCTTTAGTTTCCACGAAACTCTGCAATTATGTGTAATCCATTAAACTTTTCTTCCCTCTCTCTCTCTCTCTCTCTCTCTCTCTGCTATTTGCTACTTTCTATTGCTAATCTGTCTAATATCATACCTGTGTGAAGTTGAATTCTCAACTTATAAGACCACAACAACGGTCATAATTGATTCAATTTTTATATACTTTGATCAATTAGTATAAAATTGATCTTAAAATTATTTTTTTCTATTCAAAAAACATGATCTTCTCTGCACGGCCTCCTAGTGCTCAACAACCTCACTAATTTAGACCTACCTTTCTCTTCTCTCTCTTTACCTTTTTTTGTATTTTCTCTTTGTTCACTTTAATTTAAATTGGGGTTAATAACATTTTTGGTCCTTAAAGTATGCATTTTTTTTATCAATGTAGTTCTCAATGTATCAATTTTCTCAATTTGATCTCTAAAATATTCAGTTCGTATTATTTTTGATCCCTACGTAAACGAACCGTTAAGTTTTTGATGGAATGACCACGTGTTGGGTACATAATACCGTTTAAAAAAATGGCACGTAACCACTTCCGTCAAAAACTTAATGGTCTGTCCATGTAGGGACTAAAATTACACAAATTGAAAATTTTGGAAACTAAATTGACAAAATTGATATAGTAAGAATTAAAGTTAAAAATAAATACTTTAGGAACTAAAAATGCTATTAATCCTTTAAATTATGTAACTAAAGAAAAAAACATAAATTACTACTTAAAATATAAATATTGCACAATCACTACTTAATTTTTGGTATTGAACATTGTCTCCTTTTTTTTTTGAAAAGTATTGTACATTGTCTTTAGTATTGCTAGTAAAGCTGTATTTCAAAAGATTTCAGGATGAAAGTTTACCACTTGCCTAAACAAGGCCTGACCTTTTGGCCTTTTAGACCTAATGATGTGGAGAATATGAACAACAAAAATGGCAATTCAGGGATTTCACATGGATAAGGCTTTTGACTTTTGGAGTCTAGGGTCCGGAAAGGAAAAAATCTTCTATGAAAAAAAAGAAAGTCTCAATAAAAGAGGGGAAGGCAAATTCTCTAGACAACACAAAGGGAGTAAATAATTAAGTAAAATGGTGACATTACATGATCATTGAAACGTTACCACACAATTTCATATTAAACGTTACACAAGACTTGGGTACTCTACGCATAAACATATAATACTTCTAGGTTAATAGTATTTTTAATCTTTAAACTATGTTTATTTTGTTAATTTAGTTCTCAATGTATCAATTTTATCAACTTGGTTCCTGAAATTTTTAATTTGCTTTTAAATGATTCCTTCATAAATGAGTTGTTAGTTTTATGACAGAAATAGTAACGTGTCATTCTCTCAGACAGTATTATTATTACACGATTAGTTTAGTTAAAAATATAACGGCCTATTTGCACAAGAAATATTTAAATACAAATTGAATATTTTAGAGGCAAAAAATATTACTAACCCAATACTTTTTCTATTTTGTCTTTGAGAAAGAGACCTTCTTAGTTGTTACATCACACTAGAAATAGCAAGGTACTTGGGGCCACTTGCTCCCTGAAACAAATTGAGACCATATGTTGAAGGATTGATGTGGCTTTCATAGGACAAACATTTCCTTCCAACCATGCATTTTGGCTTTTCCATAACATAATCTCTATGCACATGAAAAAATAAAAACATTTAACTCTGAAAACACAACCTAATCATGTAAAGATCATTATCAGTACCCGAACTAAAACATGTTCCCTCTAAAGATTGATCTTGGATTGAACTCGACAAATTATGTTTTGCCAGAGATTTTTTTTACAAAGATTCTCCATTTCCAAAACTATAAGAGGCAGCCCACTATATAAGTATACAATTAACTAAGTATCATGAAGAACATTGATGATCTTTGCCAAGCACAATGTAAATATTGAAATGTATTGAATAAGGTGCATCTAATGTTCACATATCCACAACAAAAACACTAGCACACAAAGTTTAAAGAACATGGATCTGCCCTGGTTTTATTCATGTAGATAATAAGTTTTATGCTAAGCTAATTTATACATCATAATCTACTTGAATAATGAAGAAATTATACCTATATACCCTCTAACATTACAGAATAAATGGCCCGGATAGCCATTAAGAAGGTCCTATAGGATCATACTATACTCTCATTACCAAATTTTACAGTTTCAAAGAGAATTATACAGCGCTGTCGTTGGCAAGTTCTCTTGTGAGGCTTTTTTTTATGAGAACATCATCATCTTGGAACTTAATATGTTCATTGGGCAATCAAGAGTCTGCGAGAAGCGGTGCACCAACGAGTATAGCAGGAATGAAGGTCGGGCCAATCAGAGGATGGACAGTAAGTGAAGTGATGGAGCCATAGAGATAGTACCTTCTCTTGCTCGTCTCCTTGTTCTAAAACGCCTATGATGGCCTCCAAGACACTCTCTAGCTCGGCTTTTTCGTTGAAGCTCAGAACTGGTGCTTCTGTGCCACTGCTTGCTCGGCATAGCAATGGTATCCATGACATAAGCAGCCTCATTTTTGTTTGCCTTTGTTGCTCTTTCTTGCTCTCTTCATCTGCTTCACTTCCCATATCTTTGGCTTGCTTTATCAAGAAGGCTACAACGGGATAAATAATAAAAGTTACATAAAGGAAAAATAATTCAATAGGAAATTTGGCTCAAATCAAAGAAGACGGTCAACAATCCGCCTTGTCTTCCTCGCACATTTTTAGGCCCGGGTGAGGGTATGGCTGACAGGGGCTAATGCAGCTGATTGTTAGCTACACCATTCCCATCGTGCGACTGAATTTTCAAAAATTGATTGTTTTGGGTATCAAGTATACCAGAATTCTGAGAAATTACTAATCCCTCTTTACAAAACAGTGCATTGACAATCACATGTGCATGCATTATTCTTGATTGTCTGGCAATATCTTTCATGAGCTTGACATATGAATGTCTCACTAGGCAATTGATTTCGATTGCCATGGAAAACGCACAACAGGACAATGCCTGCCCCACCAAAATAAATAAATAACAAACACAGGTTGTAAAATGTGGACCATCACTACTAGGCTAATAATAATAAGAGATCAATGTTATTGGGACCTAATTTATGCTGACCTAATTCATTATGATCTTTGCATTAACTGTAAGGTCCATCAAACATTGGAACTTGATGTTGATCTCATAGCTCTCCTGAAGCCACATCATTATGTCAATAAATTAGGTCAAATTTTTAAGTGTAAATAGTATTCCTCATAATAATAATAACAATGCTCCATGTGCACAAAAGAAAACTCGTGATCCATGAGCATGACGACAAAATTATGTGATAGATAGAACACAAAAACAAGTCTTGGATTAATCAAAATTTGAGAAATGCTCCAATTCTCAATTTGCAATCTTAAAATCTTTTAGTTCTTAAATTATTTCATAAAAAAAAAAAACTACAATGCAAAAATAGGGGTGCAATTTGAGAATTGAAATCTTTTAGGGTCGAAATTAAAAATTTATAAGTGTGAAATTAGAATGACAAACCTGAGACCTTAACCATAAAGCCTTGAAGCCGCAGCTCAGTCGAAAGAGCCAGCCAAGCCAAATTCGAAGCCGAAGCCCACCTTGTCACAGCTTCGTCTCCACACCCACAAGCCGCCAGTTTCTGAGACAGCCACAGCAACTCCGCTGCCAGCTTCTCAGCTGAACTCCCAGACCGGCTCAGCTCCTCCCTCGACTTCCCCAATCGCCACATGACGTCACCATAGTGCCGAACCGCCCCCAAAACCCGGTTCAACCGGTAACGGTATCTGTAAGAATCCTCACTATGTGCCCCATCAATTACGTCACCATTTACCCCACCGCCACCACCGCTCCGCTGCCCTTGGCTGAGCACGGCGGCCTCAAGCTGACTTAGCGTCCGCGAAAACGCCGCCGAGATGACCGTACAATTAACCTCCCTTAGGGTTTCGTTTCCCTCCAGTAAATTCTCATCAATAAGTCTCTCAGCCAACGATCTAACAACTTCATACTTCCTCGAACTCACCGGTAAATCATTCACAATCGATAACAGCTGAGAGAGAGCTCTAGCGATGCCGGATTCTCCAACGCCACCGCCTCCGCCTCCGCCTCCGCCGTTGGGTTGATTATAACTTTCTGTTCTCGGAGGTTTCAAAGGGTAATTGTAATTATCTACAGAAGGATTCAATCCGGGGAATAGAGAAGGTAAGAGGCCAAGAAAGAAGAGAAAAGCTGAGACGACGATGTAACGAATGAGTTGGAGGAGCTTGTGCTTCTCTGCAAGGGTTAGAAGGGACTTGTCGGCGTAGAAGAAGATAGTGGTTAAGAGTTTACGAAGAAGCAAAGGAGCCATGGTGGTAGGTGAGCTTTCCATCTCTCTTCTCTCTTCTCTCTTCTCTCTTCTCTCTCTCTCAGATCTGCATAAATAATAATATTATCACACAGAGGATAATCGAATGGTCGAAATGTATCGACGTGAAAAATGTGAGGCAACGTAGGTAGGTTGGTTGTTTACGACTAGGACTCGATGGTAACGTCTCTAAATCGTATTGTATTAAAATTTAGGATTAATTGTATTTTAGTTCAAATTTATCTTATTTTAATTTTTAATAATTTAATCATATTAGTCACTAAATTATTAAATATATTTTTATATGATCCCTTAAGTAAATAAATAACATCTAAATTATTAAAAAAAAAATTATTATAAATTTATTACTTGACATTTAAATATGGATAAAAAAATAATTTTAATAATTTTTGATCAAATTTTTACCTAATCTCTTGTCAAATAGATCCAAATTATTTTTTGTTTATGTTTAGATATTATGTGACAAATTTATGATGTAAAAATCGATAACAATTTGAATAGTGTATGTTTGAGGAACCATACATAAATATATTCAATACTTCAGGAATCAAAATAATATAATTAAAATATTTGGATCTAAAATAATAAAAATTATATACTTTGAGGACCTCCATTACAATTAACCTTAGAATTTATTTTAAAAAATAATTTATTATCAAATGTAATTAAGTATAACTAACTCTCAAATTTATATTATGTATAAATCTTATTTAACAAATTTAGTAAAATTTATATCGACACGTGTATTTCATGAATCTAACAAGTCGACTAGTTTTGGATTCCCGTACCATGTTTGTAATTGTAGAGTCTGTTACGAGTTTAAGTATGAAAGTAGATATGTTGATTAGGAGTAGAGTTTTGCTAATTATACGTGGTTGCTCTCTGAATATCAATATATATTTACATATTAAAGGTGATGATGTATTTTAACGTGAAGCCATTTTTGTGATGATGAGTAAATGAAAAAAATAATATTAGAATTATTGGATTCTGAGCTATTAGACTTGAGGGAATTGTTGGAGAGTTGGAGAATTAATATAGTAGAAATATAGTGGTTTGCCAACTCGGGAGCTTGGCTAGTCCACTCTGGAATGGAGGCTCCTACTCCTTTTCTTTCAATAATCCTTGTTACAAGGTTCCAATGGCTCCTTTTTGTTTCTAGGGTTCCTCTCTCTGTTAGGAGATGTTACATTGCATTTATAGGGTCATTCTCGGCTAAGTGGGATCCTGACCGAAATTCTTGCCCTTACTTTGCGGGGTGCTCCCTAATTTTTAGGAGAAGATCTTGGTTGGGTGAAATTAGGTGCTTGATTATAGTTTCCTAACGCTTTAGGAACCTCTCGTGATTATCTAGTTGTTGTTTTGGTTGTCATTGCCATCGCTTATCTCGAGGGTACCTCCAGCTCTACTCTTCCGAGTTCTGCTTGCGTAGTCTAACCTTTTGGGTTGATCTGACTTCCTGAGCTGGCACTTGAGATTTATTTTGAGGTATCATCAGTTGCCCCTCCCCCCTCGCCCTTGGCCCAAGCGAGCTTGGGCATGGGCTGAGCTGTTTCACCTTGGGCCAGACCTGCACCTAGCTAACCTTAGTCCGTATGTGGGATGCACGTGGGAAGGACATTTTGACGATTTATAGCAATCATGGATTCCTCGATTCTCGTGCATATTTCAGCCCACGTCATTCAAGCTTTAAATGCTCAAACGGTTGCCCGAAAACCGCTCAAAATCCCCTGTTCATCTTCTACGCTGTTCACCTTCGTTTTCGACTCTTTCTTTTTGTAATTTCTGGGCTTTCCTCCACACGATTCCCTTATTTTTTGCTCTAGACTGTGCTTTCTGGATTCGACTCGAAGTCCTGTTTTGTTCCTCTGGCTGTTGTTTACTGCTCTCTTCCCTGTCTAGGTACGCTTCCTTCTGCCCCTTTCTCTTTTTCTTACCTTTCCTCACTTTGGATCCCTCGACTTCGAGGTGGCCATTATTTTTCTGAATTTTTCAGTTCTTTTTCTTTTGGAATTGCGATCGTTGCCTATCTCCTCTTCCCCGCTTTGTGGATTGAAACTCCACTGTGCAAATTCTTACTATTGGGAGGTACAGTGCTGACCTTAGGATTATCAGGGGGTGTTTAGTTAGTATTCTTCCTTTTTATCATTCTTTCGACTTGTCTTTCTCCTTGCCAATCATGTCTGCCTCCTGTAGAGCAACTCCTTCCTCTGTTTTCCTTTTAGGCGATAGGTTACCGAAAGAGATTTTGATTTAGGGGATGTAGATGACGAGATTGACAACTTTTCTGGCGTAGACTCTGCCAAGATAGAGGTGAAAACTAAGGAGACCCTCTCCACCTCTTCTCCCATGCCTGATAGACCTGATAAGGGCAAGGGCAAAGTAAGTGGTGTGGGAGTCATTGTTTCAGGCATAAGGGCTGCCTTTAGAAACGCTGAACTTGTAGGTCACAGCGGACTTACCCCTTCTAACATGAAGGTTCTCAGTGCTCGCTTTAGTTTCCCTCTAGGAGTTCAGCCCTGGAGACTTGATAAGTACACCATATATGTTCACCATGTCTATATCTTTCTCCCTTACTAGCACTGCGCTGGTTGAAAATTCTAAGACAGCTAGGTAAAAGGTAAGTATTTCTCCTTCTAACGGACTTACCAAGACAAGTGGGGAGCTCAAGTATTCTTTCAACGCTTTGAAGGCTTCTTCACACCGAGCATCCCATTGAAAGGCTTTCTTTAAGACTTGAAAGAAGGGCTGACACTTGTCGCTTGATCTGGAAACGAAGCTACTTAGGACAGCTATTCTCCCGATTAAACGCTGTATTTCCCTCGTGTTGGAGGGAGGCTACATATCCAATACTGTTTTTACCTTTTCTGGGTTAACCTCTATCCCTCTGCTATTAACTATAAAGCCCAAAATGTTTCCTGCTGACACCCCAAAGACACACTTAGCTGGGTTGAGTTTCATCTTGTATTCTCTCAGGACCTGAAACGACTCTGATAGGTGCCCAATGTGGAGCTCTACCTTCAGCGACTTGACCAGCATGTCGTCAATATAGACCTCCATGGAGGTCCCAATCTATTTTTGAAACATCTTATTCACCAGGCGCTAGTAAGTGGCTCCTGCATTTTTTAACCCGAAAGGCATCACCTGATAGCAGTACATCCTTTGCTCAGTTATGAATGAGGTCTTCTCTTGGTCAGTGGGATCCATCCTGATCTGATTGTACCCAGAGAAAGCATCCATAAAGCTGAGGAGCTCATGTCCCGCAGTGGCATCTACAATCAAATCTATTCGGGGTAAAGAAAAACTATCTTTTGGGCAAGCACGGTTGAGGTCTGTAAAGTCAATGCAAAGACGTCATTTATCATTTGTCTTCTTAACTAGGACTGCATTGGCTAGCCAGACTGGGTAATCCACTTCTCGAATGACTTTCGTATGACAAGCTTGCTGACCTCTTCGTTGATGGCTTTCTGACACTCCGGGGCAAAGTTCCTCCTCTTCTGCTTAACAGGCTTACAAGCTGGATTCACGCTGAGCTTGTGAGTGATGACAAAGGGATCAATCCTCTCATGTCCTCTTACTTCCATACAAAAATTTTCTTGTTCCCTTTCAGGAATTGGATGAGGAGATCCTTGATTTTCTTGCTCAGCTTGGATCCAACGTAAACAAGATACTCTGACTCCTCATCCATTTGAACAGGTTCCAGTTCTTCTAATGGTGTTGGCCTGGTCTCGAGTTCATCCCTCATGTCAAGCTCATCTAATTGGATGCTCTCAACCTCCTTACTTCTCATGGATGTCATGTAGCATTCTCGTGCTATGCGTTGATCTCCCCGGACCACTCCAACTCCGTTTTTTGTTAGAAACTTCATTACAAGGTGATAGGTAGAGGGCATAGCCCTTATAGAATTGAGCAAGGGCCTTCCAAGGAGCATATTGTATGCTGAAGATGCATCAATCACTAGAAATTTTATAGTTGTTGTAGTCTGACAGGGTGGGTCACCTAAGGTCAAGATGTGTTGGATTAATCCCAGGGGTAGCACCCTTTCTCCCGAGAATCCCAATAGGTGGGCACTTATTGGTTCAAGCTTTTCCTTTTCTATATCCATTTTGTCAAAAGTAGAAGTAAAAATGATGTCTGTCGAGTTGCCATTATCAATCAAAATACGGTGGACAGTTCTGTTGGCTACCACAACTCTTACCACCAAAAGGTCATCATGGGGATGTTGGCAGCCCTCTAGATCTACATCTGAGAAAGTGATAGTCGTGTCTAAGCGTGGAGACTTGGACATGGTATATACTTCGGGAGCTTCTATGGCTCTGATTTTACGCAAGTGGGCCTTTCTGGCAGAGTTGGACCCTCCTCCTTCGGCAAATCCTCCTGATATCACTCTGATCTCCCCTATAGGTTACTGGTGTGGCTCTGGTGCTTGATGCTAAGGGGGTGGAGGTGGGAGAGCTCGGTTTTGATTATCATTGGCCACATAACGTCGCAGCTACCCCGCTGAATTAGAAATTCTATTTCTTTCTTCAATTGGATACAGTCATTGGTGTGGTGACCATGGTCTCTGTGAAAGTCATAATACTTCGTAAGATCCCTTTTTACCGGGTCTACTTTCATTCGGGGTGGCCACCTTAAGAACCTCTCATTTTGCACCTCATACAGTATCTGAGATACCGTAGTAGTCAGAGGGGTGAGCTGTCGGGGTGCATACCTTGGTTATAGCTCTGGTTGTGGAGGGCCGAGGCGATCCCTGACATTTTCTCTTCTCTTCGGGGAACACTCTCTGTCTCTTCTTGGAGACCTTCCTCGCTCTCTTTCCTTTTTGGGACTTCGTTCTCTCTTCTTTTCTTTCTTTCCTTTCTTTTTTTTGATGAAGAGCTCCCGACCTTGGAGAGGAGCGTTTCCTCACCATTTATGTACTTTTCTGCTTTGGCAACCACCTCCGCCATATTAGCCTGGGGGTTCTTTGAGATGAAAAACATCAAATCTTTTGACTGAACTCCCAGACCTGCTATGAAGGCTGTAATAGCAAATTTT